TGTATATTCGAAAAAAACAAAAATGTTTGCTGTTATCATCATCATATCATTTTCAACTTTTCACTTATGTCGGCACTCCCGGAGTGCCACTGGTTTTTTTTGTTACAGGTCTTAGTTTTGAACTTTAGAAGATGTTTCAATTTTTAAGATGGGTATAGACAAAGAGCTAGATCGAGGACTACAGGCTTTTAGCTTTTGTTAAGGCTAGATTCGTAATTAAGGGGCTTAATAGGCTAAAAGCCTATAAAGACTTTTAGTCCTTTAGGCTAGGCCTATTCAAGACTCTTGGTTTTAGGTCCAAAGTCTTGCAAAGGCCTAAGCTTTTTTAAGGCTAATCTAACAACAGTAACGCTTCTGGTGTTGCACATCACTACGTGTATTGCACGTCACTACGACTGTGGCTAATGTTACATCACTCTCGCACGCGATGAAGTAGTTCAGCTCCCGGGAACATTCTCTTATTCCTTTTACTGTCAAGGGGTTCGAAACACGAACACACGGCTAGTTCAAATATTGTTGTTAACAATTTAATATTAGTGCTGGTGTCTGTCACTTCGCATTCGTGAACTACAAATACATAGAATATGTATGAAAATTAAGTGGTTTACTTTTGGACCCTAACAACCAAACGCTTATTATAGATAGTTCAACTCAGTTGTGCGCGCGGCCCTATGTGTGCGTGGGCTTGTAAATATACAACTTTCATTCGTGTGGCAGTCGTCGTCCGAGCACCGCGTCACTGCCACACGAATGAAAGTTGTATATTCAGTTGTGCGCGCGGCCCTATGTGTGCGTGGGCTATTAAAAATATACAACTTTGATTCGTGTGGCAGTCGTCGTCCGAGCACCGCGTCACTGCTCTAACCCTCTGAAAGGGCTATAAAAGCTATGAAGCTTTTAGTCCTTGAGACTGTAGCTGTATATATGACTTACTTTTTATTTTATTGTTAACTCTTTGTTCGATGTCTTTTAAATATTCTTGATTTTTCACAATTATTTACTTTTCAGTGGACGCTCCTTTCATTGCTCTTTAATAATTTTCAAATTAGTGCTTCCAGTTTACAATCGTTTTCCGAAGCAGGAAATTTGATTAATAGAAAATGAAATCGTCCCTATTATAAAAACATTAGATCCTCAGTGTGCATCGTTGCTAAATTGTTTTCGAGATACGTAGGTAAAATTAAAATTTTCTTTTCTTTTTCTTAAAATAAATGCAAAATAAAATAAATGTTGTTTTCATATGATGGTTTACTTAGACTGAGTCTCAAAAATGGCTTCATCCTCCAGTCGCAGAAATTATTTGTTCATTAAAACTTTAAAAAATGTGAGGGCCAATTTAAAGTTTCCACACATACCATTACTTTTTCCTTAGAATAGAATAGAAATATATAGAATTATCTTTGTATATCTAATTCTTCTGTGCGTTCCTAATTCCTAAACGGCTGGACCGACCGACCGACCGTGTGTTCAAGATGATACTCGTACAAGAATTAAACCAATCTGACATTTCTAAGGACGTATTGTACCTTTAGGTTATTGTTTCAAATGCTTAATGTAGGTATTGTAAGTACTACTCTGTCAAGAAAGTACCGGGAAAAGATCAATAATACACAAAATGTTTATTTATTTTATCTACTTCAAAGTAGGTATGCTCCTTCAGAAACGATACACTTACACCAACGAATAATCCAATCATCAAAACATTTTTTAAACGCTGTTTCCGGAATTGAGTTCAGTTCTCGCTGTTGAAGGTATATGAGAGCTGGAGACTCTTCTCTTCTATTAGGAAAAAGAACACTTCCCTTGTTTTATATTTATTTATTGCTTTGCAGAGCATCACTCGCTGCGAATTCTCCTTTATATCTTCTACCGACTGGAAACGGGTGCCAACGAAGTGGTAATTTGAGTTTAGGCAAAAGAAAGAAGTCGGCTGGAGCCAAAATAATAATATTCTTTCAAGAAATAATAAAAGAATATTCGGCAAGGATTCCGAGTGCACAAGATCCGACTTTGGCGTGGTTTTTTCGGTTTCTCTTCAGTTGGAAGGCGCCACTCCGAAGCTTGTTGACCAGTTTGCATGTCAAACTCGTAAACCCACGTCTCGTCACCAGTAAAAATGCTTTCGAATGCTTTGTACTACTCGTAAGCACGTGTTTTTGATAAAGTCGATTCACCGTAAGCCTTCTGTAACATTTTCAGTGACTCCGAACACGAAATTCCATTGGCGATGCAAAAGTTAAGACAAACTCTTCGTTCGATGTTTTTGTCCATTATAAAATTCGCAATACACACTTGATATGAAATAACTAAAAACAGCACTGTATTTAATATAAATAACAGGTGCAACTCAAACTCCGCGCCAAAATAGAAAGCAGTTGTTCCAATCTAACAACAACAAAAAAAAACAAAAATTTGAATTTGGAACCATAAACAAATCATCCATTCTTTTTTGACTGAATGTATATAAGTATCAATCTATTGCTTGAAATATATACTACAATACGTTACAAAAAAAACAACCCACAATTACCTATTCTTAAATCAGAGATAATTTACTTTTATTTTTATTATTAATAACGGTTTTGTAATAAATGTGTGTGCGTTTTATATTTTATATATTTCTTATAAATATATCTGTATAAAGACAACATAAACAGAAGTCTTTATGTAAGTTTGAAATTATGTTTTTGTGTTTAATAAACTCCGAACGCAAAAAAATATGGTAAATCATCTAGCAATTTTACACTCAGTATTTAGGTAATAATAATAACTTGTTTGAACTTCAATTCCTTTATTACAATTATTATACAATCCAATAAATGCTTCAACCGTTTAGTTGCACAAAGTAGACCCTGCCTTCCAAACTAAGTATTCCTGTAACTTCCGTTGATGGCTCGTTCACGGTATTTCAGTATAGTGTGACTATGAATATGTGCGTAGAAGGGATCGGGTTATTATATAATAATGTGTTGGAATAAATTTTATTTCACATAAACATAGACTTAGTTGTGTTTATCTTATGTGTGTAAGCAGTGCTTTGGTCTGCCGTAGTCCTGTTCTAGTCACCATCCATACTAATATTATAAATGCGAGTGTATCTATATGTTACTCTTCACGCTTAAACCGCTGAACTGATTAAGATGAAATTATGTATAGAGATAGTTTGAGTACCGGGAAAGGACAAATAAATGATATTTTTATCCCAGACATGCATGCTGTTTTATAAAAAACTTTAATTAAAGCCATATTATGTCATCGTATCAAAAAGAAGTAACGTAGAACTACATTACATTTCACTTTCTTAGATCCACCTTAAAAATTGAAATATCTTGTTAACTATGGCCCGAGTAAATCTGTGACAAAAAATGCAAATAATTAATGACTAAATTAGGGAGAAAACAGATCCTTGCTAGGAGCCCTAGTTTTCGAGATATAAGCGTAGCCGACCTGGGAAGATTCGCCCTAGGTCGGCCACCTAGGAACGCTTATAACTTTTGAACCAGTGACCGACAAATTCTATTTGGCGACAAATTAGCGACTAAATTTTTGTCTTTTCAAAATTTAAACCCATGATGGTGGCCCTGCCAGGGTCAGTGACACCTAAAGATTTATACAGTGCTCGGAACAACTATTATTTTAAAATTAATCAAGAACATCTAAATGTATATAATGTTGCAGGAGCAGTGCCAACAAGAGCCAAACGTTTTTGGCAACACAACCAAAGCAGGATACAGTTGGGGTGAAATAAAACACAGTATTTTATTGATTTTTTTATTTTTTTTACAATTAATCAGATAACATACATATCAAACCAGCCGAAGTATGGCTAAACCCATTTATTATCTAAACTTACGAACAATACAAGAAATTGATACCTCTCAAATTCACCTTACTTTAATATATATAGATATATTATAATAATATAATATGCGTTCACTCTACATATATATTCTACAACCTACTTACTCATAATCTAAGTTTTGCATAAATTCAAAGTAAATATGCCCAAAAGAAATATTGTTGAACTATGAATATATATTAACTTTTTGGCAATTAATTGAGTATCATTTATGTGCATAGCAAAATTAATTTTCTTTTAACATGTAACTTAGATCTTACTTCATAAAGAGGCCACAAATATAACATGTGTTTCTGTCGTCAGTTCAATTATATAGGGACTTTTTGTTAAACATTATTTATTGCCTATACTATAAAGATTACTCTTATCGAAATGTAAGAAAAATATCCTTACGCAATAACTGAATTAGTCTAGCAGTGCTGTGCAGTGAGTGTCGAGGGCCTCCGGTGGTTGGCAAGGCACGCGCCGCACCGTAGCGTGTTTGCATCGCTACGGAACACCGAGACAGCAGCGCGAGCCCCGCCCGACCTGCCTCACCGTTGTGCGTACACATTGCGCTAACAATACGAGACAACATTTCACATAATGATCAAAACAACTATTTGTCATCTACATAAAATTTGCTCCAAATGTTTATATTAAAATATGTCTACTTATTGTAACTTCTAATTAGTTACAGCCAACTTTACAAATAATTGATACATTAGACTCTCAAATAGATCTCTACTAACTATTATTAATTAATGGTAAAAAATAAAGAATAAAAATACTTCTAAACATTGCATTTCAATCACATAAGGTTTAGTTTAAATACAATAATAACATTTTTAAAACCCGAAAATAAGTATTACAAGAACAATGATATCGTTGAGTTCTGGAATGGAAAATAGCACACTTAAATTCACTAACTGTTACACTTACATAATAATTATTGTTCTCCTGCTTTGTTTGTAATATACAATTGCTTTAAGGTATCAGAAAAATAACAGTAAAATATATCGACTATTTGATACACGGATAAAATTTATAATAATCCTTAAATTAACTTAAAGAAAGGTTGTATGTGTACCAAATAACAGTGCAGTGCATGTGATAAGTACTGGGAGTTGATAAATAGTTTGATATAGGACATTATGTGAGGTTATTGAATGAGGTATACAGATATAAAGAACATGGAACCGCTGCCGAGGCTGCCGGGCAGCGGCGCGCCGCGCTCTGTCGCGCCGACCACACGAGTAATGTGCGCGGCTGTTTGCTTAGCTAGATGTAAATATGGAGATGTGTAGGCCCGCCAGCGACAGAGAGCAGAGAGCCGCCGGCCTCGGCCACCTGCTACGCTATTATTTGGTACGTGACGGAACACAAACGACTCTCGAGCGAGCCGTCGACGGAACATACGTAAAGGATGGTGCACAGATCGATAGAAATTCATATTACTATTAAGGCAGCCGTTCATAAACTTACTACGTGAAATTTCTTACGCATGCCTCATAATTATTACGACCATAAATATTAGATATATTTTAGATATTGAGAATACAAAGTTACAAATAAATACCCAACAAAGATAATTTGAATAAGAACATAAGGAACACTACAGCAGCAATCAAATTGCGAACACATTTTGTACTACATAAAAAATAATACACAACCCTTTGCGCGAAAAGACTGAAAAGTTCAACTTTTAAAGTCACTATGAAACTCGGGCCCTAGTATGAAATGCGATACAAGGCATTCCGTGCGTTCGAGGCGTGCCGCTTATATTTGTAGCGAAGATATATTGATCCCGCAAACGCAAGGAGATGCCTCATAGTACGACCCTCGTGTCACTTTCAGTTAATACTAGATCTTTAGAATAGATTTCCCCATCACAGAGATTTGCACAGAAAATTTTTTTTTTTTTTCGTTTTTAATTTTTATTTAATATATTTAGCCTATTGATATAATTATGACATAATTTTAGTATCTGCTTATGACTTAAGTGTTCCAATACAAATATCAAGGAGAATTAATTATTAATATTATTGGTGTAACCTGAGACGAGACATCCTAAGTCTACGCTAAACTTATCAATTAGTTATGTTGATATTGTTACAATGAAATACGTTGCTGAAACATGTTTTACAAACTACATTGTACTTTAACTCAAAGGTGGTACCGAAAAATATTTATTTTTTTATTATAAAACAACGCCAATCACTATTTTATTTTAAAGAGACGTCACTCACTATAATACTAAAAAAGGCAATCAATTTAGTATTCATTATTATGATAACTTAATGTTTTACAAATACCAAACTTAACGCACATCAAGGGAATCACGGATATGAATACAAACAAAATAATTCGAATTAGAAATGTAGACGATATGCAACGTTTTAAGATCAATCGTTAAGGAAATCAAATGTTCGGATGACATCGGTGGTACTCATGTTTGTTGCGATCAGTCTCCAGCCGGGTGGCGCGATGTCACGGTACGCCACGCAGAGCGCTACATTCACTTACATTCGTAAATCATCGGATCATTGGGATCGGTACACTACACTGTGTAATTATGGTGGGCTTTTTTATACACTAATTAAGCTTGTTCGTTTTGTACAACATAAACCGACAACGGTACATTCCACTCGTATAATGGTCTTTAATGTATTCCAGCTCGATACATCACTAAAGTAAAAAAATATACGAAGCAGTTAAATATTATGTCTCGTCACATAACAATGTGCCGCTGGCAGTAGGAGACCTCTAATAAAATAAATATTCTCATCCGACTCACTGGACAATATTAAAAATATTTTCTTAATCACAGATATCAGTCTGTCAAAATTTAAATTAAGTATATTTCAGAATTGGATTAGTCGTTCCTCACTTACATAGGATTATTCAAGTACAAGTACAATCAAGGTACAAAAGTGACTAATATAAGACCGCAGAGTATTGATTTGACGCCAATAGAAATATGTCACTATTGAGTGGTTATTAGTACTTTAGTGGTACATTAACAAATTTGGTCGTTCGAACTAAGCGATTACGTATATATCAAGCACTGCCGTCGAGACCGATAATGTTCTCTTATAGTACAAATGAACATTGAATATAAACAATTTGACACAGGTACAACAGAGATCTAATGAAAGAATAATACAAATATAAACTAGTTTCATATAGGATATGATCTTTAAATTATGCTCGATTATATCACGCGGCGATACATCAATGCGAGAGAGACTAGAGAAGCAGTGTCTTGTAGTTAGCGAGCAGCAGTCTCGAGTCTACTGCATCAATTAACTGTTGGTGGGGAGGGGGTTGGCCTTGATACACATACATATATACATAAACGCTACATACGTACTCATCGATCAAATGCAACTTTTCACGAGTGTGAGATTTGCGCGCGCGCACTCCGTACACTACCGTACGCGCGCCCTTTGTACGCAACTGAGCTAACGGATAAATGACGACTTACTGCTCTATTACAACTATACATAATAGCAGTTTAAAATATTCTCAGCAATCACATTTAGTTAAATTACCACATAGACAATTTAGCTTAGTTCAACATTTTTATCAATGGCCCTCTGTTTACACGTAAAGTCACTCAGTACATCATTTTTTATTATTTTGTTTATAATCAGTTGTTTGTGTTTTATCAAGAACACCTTTATCTTACAGCTATATATTCCAATAATACAAAAATCCATTCACTATAATTAAGGTAAATTTTAGATATTTAAACACTAAAATGTAAAATATGAACATCCTAAATAAACTCTGATATTCCAATTTTTAGGCATTAGCTCAATTAATTAAATATATGATTGAGTGACTATGAAAAAAGAGAAATAAATGCATTATAATAATACTACCCAACCATTCCCTTGTAAAGTTTGACAGGGTCCAAGCTGCTCGGGCCGAACTATCGTTACTGCTACACACTACGTCAAAGCCTTCGTTATTTTATATTTGGTATTCACTTATTCGCACCACATAACAAGACTAGAGGAATGATTGCCTCTGTGTCGACGTCGCGCGTGTCGCCATCTCAACACGATCCTTCGTACATAAGGAAGACTAGTTTCTTTGTAGATATCACCTAATGTGTTCTATTGTATCGAGACATCAACGTCCCAATGTACAAAAATATATATAAATAAAGACAACAAGCAAAACTTTAACCTTAAGTTAAATTAAAAAGGCCCTCTTGAACATCGTACACTATCACTAGGTAAATTATTTCGAATATAAGTAACTTCGTCAGTTGTTTATACGCGTTATCAACCAATGGAAAATGATAATGTCTTTTAGTATGCATAAGTCAATATTCAGCTCATGAATGTGAAAGAAATAGCTGCGGTAACTGCGTAAAACGAATCTGAGTAAAATTGGTCCCTATGTGATACACAGTTGAATCAAGGTGTGCCAGACAAACAGAGCGACGACTGTCTCGTTACCGCTGCGTCGCCCTTGACAAACAACGCTTTTACAAGCACGACTAAATTAATCGTTGTACGAAACATGTATCGAATCTAACTTGTATACTGTTCGAATAGAGGAAACTAATGAAGCTACTAACATACCATCGAAGTTAAAGGGACGGTAGAGTGATAAGCGAAGGGAAGCTAAGCGCGCAGCGCGCTATTAGGCGGCATGGGTCCTACGCCATAGAAAATGCAATTATCAGCTATGGTCAAGTATATTAAAAGCTAATTGGGAGATTACAAAATAACTTTAGAATTTTATTCCACACTAAGGATAGATAATAAAAAAATATTAAAATTAACAACAATATTATGAGCAAACTACTTGAATAGTTGAGCTAAAATAACACCAGAGCAGCTTGGATGGGCGACAGCGACCTAAGCATCGCCGACATTTAAATGGCTCCTATTTGTACGATCAATATTTTGTTGTGATGTCAGAGATCCACGCAATAGTATGTAAACAACACAAGCGGTCGTCTAATGGCTTACAGACATCGACTTTGGCATTCAAGTGTTATGGAATATGCGAACGTTTGACGCGCGACACACGCGCTATCAGCTGACACAGTAAACAGATAATTTTTATGTTACACGTTAATTCGGGTAAACTTCATGAAGAACAAAAAATAAATAGATAAAAATATTTACATATACGTAGGGTATACATAATCATATATATATATATATATACATAAAATGTTGATTGATGAAATAACACTTACAATAAAAGTAAAACATAGCTAAGCTCATTAATGATTACACAAGGCGTGGGCGCGAGCCCCGCTGCTCGCAGCCTTATATTGTCTACAGCTAGTCACAGAGCGGTGCCTAGCGCACAATTCATTACAATACATTTTTGAAAGGAAACGATTACACCTGCCATCGGTTACGGTAACGTACCACAGTTCATTGAGGCACAATCATTGGTTTCTTTAATTGCTTTTCTTTATTTTTATTTTTTTTTGTTTTTTTTTCTTTATTATTTCCATTACTTATATTTAAATCTATGATCGTTATTATAATTACTTTAGGTACGTAAATTTATTCTAAATAACAGAAACAAATCACGAAAAATGTTATTAAAAGAGAAGCGTGAAGCGTATTAAACTTTTACGAATATAATTCCACAATATATACATATTACAGTATAGACGTACGATATAAATACACAACAACATAATAATATAACACAGACTAAATTGCACATGGCGCAATAATTGTGTGCAGGAAATAATGATGCAGTCATTGAACCGAGAGGAGATTCAGTTAGCGCGGCGCGTGGCCGCTTCTCACAACCTTTGGCGCTGCGCGGCGAGCGCCGATACACCTCTATAACACCACTATATACCACTATACCGACACGACTACACATTTAAAATACGTCCACTTCACAATATCTATACCATTTATTTAAGTACTGATAACTTTAACTGACTAAAAAACTTCAAGGCATAAAACTTCTTTCGACTTTAATCTATGGATGACGTATTCTAAAGGGCACTGGTTTATTATACTCTCCGTTTGATCAGATTTTATAATTTAAAAAATGGAATAAACCTTATAAAAATTAAATATGACATTTTATTGCTGTAAAATTTAAATTTGCACCAGAGTAACCAACTGAGATTTAGGCGTTATCGAATGTTGGTGTAGAATTGGACAGAACAATATTATTAAAAATAATACCTATCACACTTTATTAATTCTATCAATCGGTAAAAGAAACACCCTCATTACTTAAATTGAGCTTTAACAATACATAGAATTGACATGTGTCTGTTTATACGTGTAGTATTGTTGCATAGACGTAACACGAATGTTATAGGAACATCAGATCATAAACCCGTACCGCGAAAATAATTTCAAATTTTGGAAGAATCTTTATCAATCAGCGAAATGCAATCAATCGTTCCGGACATCTTTGATAATCACTCTTTGGCACCTAACTTTAATCATCGTGAATCTCGATTACGGCTCTTACGCGAAATTAACGGTTCGGTTGCATATACTCGCACGTGTTTGCGTTGATACGAGCGGTGCTTGTGATGACGTTCAACTTAAATTTGAATCCGATACAAATCGCAAAAGGCAGCGAACAATATGCAAAGGTGAAAACGCAACACTGTCGTCGGTCCCTATAGTAAGATAACACGGATGAAATGACAAATGCTAATTATGTTTCTAAATGAACACAGGACACATCGAAACATTTAACACTAACTACTACAGGTCCGAAGCGATCAGAGTAAACGCACGTACTCGTCCAACATCGCGTAACTAACTTAATTATATAATTTGTGAAGAGTACTCGAGCCGGAGCTCGACAAGGTACAGCGAATCACTTACAACTAACTTACGTCTAAAATCGTTTTATCATAAAAACACTGGAAGATGTTCGAAAAAGTTACAATTTACATTATTATAAGTCGGCTGGGGCCTCGAGTCGACCGGCCAGTTCGTAAAGCGTGGTGGGTCCGTCGTTGACGGTCGAGGGCGCAAGCCCGGAGTCTCATCAGGGGCGGAGCGGCGGGCGGCGGTAACGCATGCGTCTACAGGAACTCCCAACACTATTATACTTTGCTCAACCTGTCGTGAGATAAGCAGTCTTATATTTTCTTCGCTTATTTGCATTCATCAGCTATAAAAGAATCGATAACACTGCTTAACTGTACCGATAATAGGCAAGGTTGACAACAAGTGGTGGGATGTCCAAAATGGCAGACGATGCCACCGAACAGCTCGAAGCTGTCGGAAACGTCTGTCCCGCCGCTGCTCTATTCTAATCCCGTAACAATTGGTAATTTTATATTTTGGCAGAGTATCTCTGTGGCACACCATTAATAAATTAAAGTAAATAAAAGTGTAAATAAACTTTATGATAACGAACTTTACCTTACACGTGCAATCGTTGCCGTTAAATATCAGTAGTATGCTTATTGAATTCTACGATAGGACTTAAATTGTAAACTTAAACCTACAGTTATTAATACCGACGAACCTACGGCTACAAGTATATTATTAACAGAATATCTAAAGCATATGTCACTTTGAATAACGTTCAAATTGAGCCTATAGAAAATACCACAAATCTTTTATTTAAATAGATATTGATATGGCTAAATTTAAGTTAGAACTTTATTCTTACCTATACACAAAAGTGTAATATTTAATTACTGTCAATTATAGTACTTTAATAACACTTCTCACAAATGTATGTGTAATATAAAATGATAAAACAATTTTCAATTTATTATATTAGGTTACCCTTACGTTAATCGTATAATCTAGATAATCGTCTCATTATATTAAACATAAAGTGGCACTTCAATCACAAATACTGGAAAAAATTTGGGGAAACGTCAGCTTCGGCGGAGGCCGACCGCCGGCGACCGCGCTACTATGATACTCTCAACAAAATAGATTATCCTTACATTAGGCAAGATATTTTACATCACAGGATTACTGGATTGCAAGGGAGCGCCCCGCCTTGGCCTTGTACTTGCGGCGCGGGGCCACGGGCCCACTCCGTACGCATATAACTATATACTCCTTTGTTTCAGACTATACACGGCTTAAGGAATTAACCGCTACGAGAATGCACTTCAAATCTCAAAATTATACAATTTTGTTTTCTTCGTAAAAATTACAACTAATCGTACAAGTTTGTTAGTGGGCGAAATGCGCTTAAACGTTTATTGCTGAATAAAATATCACTACTGGAAAACGAGGGCTCGATGCGAGTGAGAATTCAAAACAGAAATAAATAATTAAAATACGACAAGTACAGATTAATAAAACGAGAAAATAAAAACGAACACGAAAGAAACTCGGAACGCAACAGCTCGACGGGCGAAACAGCAACAGCCCTCGAGCACAACAAAATAAATATACGCTATAAAATAAGGCCACGGGACGAGTGACTGAGGTAGCCCGCGAGGCAACTACTCTATCTGATACCTACATTATTTGTTTTATTTGTTATTTGGTAGAACGCAGACGCGAACCGCGCGCGGTCTCACCGCCCACGGGCCGCGCCCGCTCGGACCCAACTCTAACGTTATAACCTCGATACACTTTCATTTGCCATTGTATATGTATAATTCTTATATACACTAAATATTCTACATGAACACTTAAAACACAGTAAGATAATATAGTATTGTGGACAGTTGGCTACCGCGACCGCGTCGCGACGCGTACTACAACGCGACGCGACGCGTTCGACACGATCTGACTAGGCGAATAAAATTAGTCGATCCCCGTACGGGGGACGGTAAAGCGTAATTACAACTAGACACAAAGGGCCCCTTCAAGACCTCACGTCGGCGGAGAAGCTATGCTGACCGGCCGCTAACACTATCTTACATATCGAATTCTCGCTAACATACAAAATTACGCACCTCATGATCGACCGGAACGATATAGACGATCGCCGACGAAGTGAGGTCCGGAGCAAGGCCCAGAACTGGATCGACACGAATAAATGTATCTGTTCTATACAAATCGAAGAGGTCCGAGCACTCAATCTCTTCAGTTATCCACAGACAAACATTATACAATAACAGTGGCGAGTTTGAACCGCATCTATTATACAAGTGAACCATAGCCTTTCGCTAACTCGTTATATTATTAAACAACAACTGTTAAAAGTTGTTTTTCAATAATTTATTTGTCTGTGGTGTTACCAAGCTGACAGGCTTAGATTGACTCCCCGCCGAGTAGGTCTGGCGGCAGGAAAGAGTTTAGTGAGGAGGGCGTAGCTCGCTGATCGTGCGAGTCGGGCCAGAGCCCGGGGAATCCACCGCCCCAGCCGTCCTTGCTACCGCCTCCGCCGCGCCAGGCACCACCTCCGCCGGAGCCCAGGTGCTGCAGGATCATTTGAACTTCTGATTCAGCCGGAGATTCGGCAAAGATCGTAGTGTTGCTCAGCACACAGTTGTTCAGAGCCATCTGGGCCTAAATAAGATTATATATGTTAAAGATTATAACTAATTAAGATCTAATGTTATGAAAAAAAAGGCATATAAAAATAGATATTACCTTAGCAGCCTCTTCGCGTGTTGAATATCGTGCGAGGGCAAGCCCTTGGTTTAAGTAGAGATGGAAATTTTGCAGGGGGCCATGTTGAACACAAAGAGTCTTCAAGGTGGAGCCATCGATCTAGAGAAACGATCATTTTTTAGAAAAATAATTAAAACATGTAGTAATTCTATCTATGATCTAAATAAATTTTCTAATTTGAGTTATCAAATGATATATCATCAATATTACGAGTAGTTGCATGTACTGACAAGACGTTATTATTTATTTAAGATTTTTCACCTGAGCAGTGAGGTTTTTCAGCAGCAGCCAGGTGGACGAATGCCAAGAAGATCCGGAGCGCTGCGGCGCATTGGAGTGGTGTTGGGGCCAGGGCTTGTTCAGGCCGGGCGGAGCAGGGCGGGGCTTGGCGCCCCATGCGTCCGACTTTAGAGCGCCCGGCGCGGCACCTGAGCCACCTGCGCCTCCTCCCGGTGGGGCATAGCTCCACGTGGAAGATGACAAAGAGCGTTCTCCCCCGGGTGGGGAAGTCTTGCCGCCCAGCATGTCTGTGTCCTTGATGACAGCGAGCGATAGCGGGGATCGTACAACGGAGCCTGGTGTCATCGCAGGGTCGTCCTCCACGGTTTTCATCTGATTGCCCTAATAGCGTAGTTATGTGAAATGGGATAACAAGCTGTCGACTTCCATAAAAAAATCGAGCCGACTTACATTAAAAACCATTGACATTAGAATAGAGCACAAACAATGTCTTTTAGGAGAAAGGATGTGTGTATATAATATAGACATGTTAATAAATTTGGTGAAAGTAGTGTTTTAAAATATCAAAAAATCCTATTCTGTCATTTATGTGTCAGTAGAATACAAATAGCACTTTTTTATCAATTAAATTGCAATACTTAAATCACCTTAATGCGTAAGGATGTTATTATTGATAAATGTAATTATTTAAATACGAACGATAAGCCATTCGAAAATTGTTTTGTTTGGAAAACTATTATGCGAAATCAAGTATATTAACTGCTCTTAAAAATAGCAAATAATTTTAGAAGCAACTCAACTTTGGGTTATTACATTACATATTTAGGATGATGTTACACCAGCAGTTCACATTGTGAAGTCTAAATAGTTAATCATCTCTAGAATACATTTATTTAAAAAAAATGTAGAGATGTGGGTGACTCACCTTCCAAGGCTTGCCGGGTTCGAACTCCGGCACAAGATCATACACCGCGGGCGGGTGTACAGGGTGCGAGGGCCAAGCATCCTTGCCGTCAGCCACGTCTGCGCCGCTGTCACCCCAACCTTCGTTGCCGCGTCCTACTCCCCAAGTACTAAAAAAATACTCCAGTTGTAAAAATAATGCTCTAGAATCCATGGCATAATTATGGAAACCTACAAGCATTTACTCCTTTAGTAGTGAGTCTACCAGGTATGGTCTGCAGTAAAATCGAGCATGAAATATTTTTAAATCAAGGAAATCCTATTGCCTAACTTAGTTTGTTGTTGTTTATTTATATAATAAAATTTTAAATAATCCATACTAATATTATAAATGCAAAATGCAGTAATAGCATAAATGCCATGAAACTAGCCGGTGGCCGCAACTTCGTTGGCGTGGAATTTGAAAAACGCTGTTTTAGTGGGTTCGATTTCCGGACCGGGCAAAATTTTATAGGGGTTTTACTGAGAGGAAAAATAGCCGTTACTCCGTATATAGACAGCTACCTGGTAGTAAAATATTATTAACATCGATCTAGCCGTTTTGAAGATTACCCGGAACAAACAGACAGACAAAAAATATTTAAACTGCTTTTTAGGCATAGGTAACGTGCAAATAACCGTGTGAGCATGAAAAAAATGATTCTTTTGTTATTACAAACAGACACTTCAATTTTATTTTATTTGTATAGATTTGGTTAAGCGGATGTTCGAGGAAAGGACATAGGTACTCCTATGTCCTTTTCTCGAACTTCCGCTGTTACTTTTTTATCACAAAAATCATACTTTAAGGCGGTGAGACCCTTGGGTAGAAGTTTGTATGGAGAATGAATAACAGCTGAACTGATTTAGATGAAATTTGGTATGGAGATACTTTAGACTCTTGAGAAAAGACAGTCTACTTTTTACCGCAATAATCAAAATATACGGCGGAGCCGCATTTATATACATATATCCAAGACTTTTTAGTAAGTCTACATCACATAAGTTACTTACGAGTCAGGTTGCAGTCCAAGCTGGTTGAGTTGTGGGCTTGTAGTAGATTTGGCAGTTCCCGGTGCACGGCTAAATTCAGAGCCTTCTACATCTTTATCCAGAGAAGGAAGTTTCCATTGGTTCAGACGTGACTGTTGGTTACTGCTGGCACTATAGCCCTAAATCAAAAACATCGATTGTGATTTTCATTTTCTTTTTTAAATTATGAAGTTATTTTAAAACATCAAAACACTGACATTTAAAAATTTTGTTCTCTGCCAAATCTCGAATTTTTTTAAATATTATCCCTCCAAATTATTTGTACATATTTGTCAAATGTATGTTTCCAAGACGAAAATCACCACCTTAGTTTATTAAACAGAGTATATTAAATGTAAGTTTAAACTAGGCGCAGCCATAGCATAATTGTCTTTCTCGGCTTCGGCAAGATAAAGGCATAAATGACAGAAATAAAAAACCCGTTATTAAAAACTAAAGGGATTTAAAAAACCTCTTATAACAGAAACAAATACTTGTATTAAGTTTGGTCAACATAATGGGATGGAAATAGCACAACGCTTATATAAGCAATAATAATATATATATGACATCAATTGGAAAAAAATATTTGAAAATGGATCTCCTGTAAAATTACAAAATTTGCAATTATGTCTTTGTAAGGTGCGATTTGGTAATTTGATAGTGACCCAAAATAAGATTTTTTTTTAATACACTGTGCTTGTTGAAATTAAGCTTTAGAAAAAGACATCTTTACCTAATATATTAAATAAATGGATAGATGTTTGTTAATCAATCACGCCAGAACGGCTTAACGGAATTGAATGAAATTAGACATAGATTCATTACAGTCTAGAATAGAACAGGCTACTTTAAATCTTAGAAAAATTATAAAACCAACATTGCCCAACTCCGGTCAAAAGCTAGTGTTAATAAATACAAATTGAATTATATTAAACTTAATCATCCTCCAACCAAGCTAATTGCATTACTTTTTCTATTATATGCTTTAATAATAAGAAACTAATTTAATATAACATAGTTATTCAGATTTTAAACATTTAAATGTCAAAAATAAAAATATTTAATCAGATCACACAGATCTGATTAAAGAATATTTATAAGTTGTGTTTATTAACTTATAAATTCTATCATGGCAGATTTGTAAAATCATAGCGACTTACTGTCTGTGAATCTTTAGAGATGCTAATTTCGCCAAAGCTGTTTTGCAAAGGTGAAAGGTGGTCATGGCTCTGCTTGAACAGATCTGAGCTGCCAGCCTGCTGCTGCTTCATGTATAAAGCTTGCTGAGTAGCGATCTGGTTCTATACAAGAAAATACATCAATTAGTATAGCATCTACAAACTAAATCTAGAATAGAAGTTTAGCTTTAAAATCTTTTCAAGGTAAACCATACAGAGAAGACTGGCCCCCTGATAGGCCCTGATTGTCCTGAAGGGACACAATGAAATACTGCCCTTTCAACACCAGGCTACTGGTAACCTCGCTCATTCAGTCAAAAGGAACTAAACAACTACTTTTTTCTGTTCAACTCTCTTGTTATCACACTGGTCAGTCAAGCTAACTTAATGTCACGAAGCAAAGTTCTCTCAGAGGAAAATATTCATAGACACAAAACGCTGAAATGGGTACAATGCATTAGACCTTGGTTTATAACAAAAATAACAAGTTTGCCTTTAAGAATAAAATGCGGCACCTGAGTAAAAAGAAAAGGACATAATGTCTATAAAATTACTTGAAGAGCAGTAATCTGCTGCTTGGCCTTATTTATTTGTACGGTGTACTGCAGCACAAGGGAAGAATGTCCCTTGGACATCGCAAGCGAGTTTTGTTGCAGTAGTTGCTGGAGTACTTTGATCTGTAAATAAAAAAAGTATTAAATTCATGTGATACTACTGTTTCACTGAAATACAAATAAATTACATACATAGTTTCATACAGTTATACCTATATTAAATGGCGTTACTTGCAATAACCTTACAAAGTCTATCTAAACCAGTTGGGTTTGATTCCAACCCAGGACAAATATTTGTATGATGAGCATGATCATTTGTTCTGTGTCTACCCAGACACTTTACAGATGAATTACACCCTTAACTTTTCTATAACATTATTGTACTTAGAAATTTTTAAATATGTTTATCTTCAATTTGATTACCATAGCACAGTCTGTCTAGTTTGAGACCAGACTGAAGTGTGAGAGATGTGTAAAGTTATTTTTATTAATTCATTAATAAAACTTTTACTTTTTATTTTTTAACTAACTCCAAAAAAGTTTCCTAATTTGTTGCTATATCAGTAACCGAAAATAACTGTCTCATCTAAATAATTCTTCTATTATTATATATCTTCTATTATTCCACTATTATATATAACAAATATTTGTTGCCTAATTGGCCCTATTCTTATCAGGATCTTGGATTTTTTAAATCATGTATTTCTGTCGAAAAGCACTAGAGTAGTAGAATTGATGATGAATACCACAGATGGTCACCAAAATTTTTTCATAATAAATATGTCACAGATTACGATTCGATTATATGGTTGCTAAGCAATTCATTCTTATCACAATGCATAAGTTGACGTATTTGTTCCACATGGTTATTGTAATAATTTTTTATATCATTTGTTTTTGGAATGGAATTGATTCCCAATATACAGCTTCAAAAAGTTGCCTAAGGCTATTGTACCATATATAAATTCATAATCTTAGAGTCAATCATTTAAGGAAGAGTGGACGGGAGTTTGTTTGCCCTTTCTACTCATAACTTTCTGTTATGATTCATCATGAAGTAATTATTTTTGAGAATATTAGTAGCAGGTAATTAAAGTCATAGATGCAACAGTCACTCATGAATTCAGATCATAGCCATCCCAACATTATATATCTCATGACCTCAAGATTTTTGTACAAAAATATAACACTCCAATCACAATCAAATTCCTCTTTACAAGGATTAAAGTACCATTGAGGGTAGATCTTTAAGTGTTGAGATAAGAGTTAAAGTTACCTGTTGCAGCAATTGGTTCAAAAGAACGAGCGTCTGAGGCGCGAGAGGTTGATTCAGTATCTGGTGGTTCAAATAGCCTGCTGACACTGCCATCTGTATTTGTTGAACGAGCATGCGAAGCTGTGCCGCGCTTGGTTGTCCGCTGTTACCAGTGCCGCTAAAAATAATACAGAGGTATTAATCTGGATAAAAACACTTCTTTTTATATAGTTATTTTTATATAACTTCTTCAGTTTTATATAAAATATCTTAAATACCTATTAGGATTGTAAGTTTGATGATGAGGAGCCGATTGCGGTGGAGGCTGGTTAAGTAACTTTTGTACAACAGCAGGTGATACTGGCACTGTTGGAGGTGGCTGGAAAGGCCCACCGTGGTGACCGCCAAAATGTTCATCCCGACGCCAACCATCGCCTCCTCGCGCGTTTGCTAGTATGTCTAAAGCCTCTTCAGCATTCATATCGCGACTACGAAGGGCGGCCTCAACCTCCTCTTTTTTGAATCCCATCTCCACCAGGAATCTAAGAAATATTCAATTTGATTAATTTAAATAAATTAAATAAATAGCCAATCACTTCTTAATTATTTTTTTTACCTGAATTGCTTGCTGTTCCACACCATTTCTTTAGGCAGCTGCTTGCCCAGTGGGCCTTGAGGTGGTTTTGGTCCACCCCATTCACCAATGTCATCAGGCCAAGCGCCACTAGGACCAGAGGGTTTTTGTTTAGGCACAGCCCATAAGGCGGGGCCTGAGGCATCAGGCCAAGTCGGCGCATCACGTTCAGGCCAAGCCGGGGCGTGAGGTTCCTCCCAAGAGCCGTTGCGTTGACCATGAGCTCCCCACACTGCGTCTGGTTTAGTAGGTGTGGGTGGCATGCGTTGAGGACCAGGAGGACCTTGAGGTCCTCGTGTGGTCATTCCGCCCATGCCTCCACGCTGTTGAGCCCAAAGCGATGTGCCATCATCAAAACCACCAGGAACACGTCTTGCCGCCGGTGGGGATGGCTCCTCCCATCCACTTCCTTTAATCGGATCCTTAGGTCCTTGACTGCCCCACTGGTTAACACCACCACCGGGCATCATCTTATTCGGTCCAGCTGTGTGCTGATGGTGTTGGCTCCACATGTCACCGTTGAGGCGACCAGAAATCCCTCCTCGTAAGTCGTGACGGGCGTCTTGCTGCTGTGACCGCGGGTCTGGTGTACGGTGGGGGTCGATTCTAGGATCAACCGGTCGGTGGGGCTCTCCCCAAGCATTCCAGTCATCCTTCTTAGGCACGGCCCATTGTTGTGCGTGTTGAGGTGGACCCGCGGGCCATTGCTGTGGCGGAGGTGGTCCAGTCCACACATTAGTTGAATCAGCTACATCGTCATCTTCACCCCATGTCCCGCCAATGTTTGTTGTCGGTGTATGACCCCATGGAGTCTTGGCAGCTGGCTGCGGTGGTGGTTGACCACCATTCCTCAAGTTAGCCTCCCACAAGTCGGTTCCGAGGAATGCCCCATTATTGACATTTGGTTTCCAAGCTGGTGGACCACCAGCGGTAGGTTCCGCCTTGGAGCCTGGCTCAGGCGATCCAGGTACATCCCAGTTGGTGTCTTGATTTACGTGTTGCTAAAATATTCAAGATTCATTAACATACAGAAAACTTGTTTGAAATAAGGATTTAATAGACAACTTTGCTATTTTTAATACTTACACCTCCCCAGCCATCCTGGCTGAACAAAGCCTCTCTCATAGAATTAAGTTGCTCAATCTTTGCTGAGGAAGTACTGTTAGCGTTATTGCCATTGTTTCCGTTGCCGCCGACGGAGGGCCCATTAGAATTGGCAGATGAATTTGGGGGATTAGCACCGCCATTGTTCCCATTGCCGCCATTGTTTGTACCTAAAGGAAATGTATTTATAATAAAATAACCGATTTTAATGAAATAAGCTAAAAATTTACTTAAACAATTTAGCTAAATTGTCACTAAAATGTTTATTTGAACTGACCATTGCTAGTAGGCGCACCGTTATTGTTGGATTGCGAATTTGGCATGTTTGGTGGAGAACTCTGCCAATTTGCAGACGCGGCACTTGTCGGAGGCATTTGATTACTGTTGCCCTTGTTGCTATTCACTGCAAGAGACAATTCCAAGATTCATAAACACCTGGACAAAATGCGAACATACATAATGGTATCGTAATCTAATCACCATAATTATCGTTTGCCAACAATAGAAGCAAATTTTATTTTGATGACTTCACCTTTATTAGCATGATGATTTTAAAACAACTTACTGTCCGCTTGAGAAGTGGGCGGCCGCTGTGCCGCATTATTCCATTGTTGAGTATTGTTTGTTGCATTATTGGTTTGGCCACTGGAGTTACCTCCCCAACTTGCAGCTGCCAATAAAAAGTTTTTTACTAACTACAATCACAAATTGTCATTAAAATATACATTGTGTACTTAAGAATCTCAAGCTACTGGAGAACACTTTTAAAGAGAGAATTGTCGATAAAATAGACAATTCATAAATACAGTAGCAATTATCAATATTAGTTGTAAATGGTTAATAATGTTGTTTAGATTACATTGTTTCAAATAATTAATGATGTAATTAAAAGAAAATAGGGGACAGATAATGCAGCATCATTTTGCTTATTTGTCCCTTATGTTGACTGTCTTTTTTTATTACTATTATTGAATTAAGCAAAAATTTCTTACCACTGTTATTAGACGTTGGCGGGCTGCCCCAGCCGGTAGCGGCATTCAGTGAGCTTTCGCCTCCTCCACGCAGACGCAGGCGCTTCAGCACACCCCAACTGTCCACTTCGTGAGTTTTCATCATGTCTTTAGTTATTCGATCCTCGTTTTTCGTGAGTTCCAACATAGCATCGAAGGTGAGATCACCGTTTGCAAACGTTCGCAAAGTCGTCTTACTGGCAGGTTTGTCGTAACCAACATCCGATTCATTATTGTCATGGTATGTCTTTACAGACTTGTCTTCTTTAGTGATTCGAGTTTTCGTTTTGGATATCATATTATGAGCAGACTTGTCGTTTAATAGTTGCGTATCGCAAGGCTCATCTCGTATAATACAAACTGAGGATTTAAAAGCGTAATCAGACTTGTTCATATGCTCCGGCGCACCAAACGCCATCTTATACTTTAAGTTAAAGCTACTGAAATATGGGTCACTGTATGAGATACCCTGGACTGTTATGGCGTTAATCGTTAAAGGAATGCAGTAGTTAGGCGTATCGCCAATCATTTGGTTTTGTTGGACACTATCAACAAATTCTATATTATAAATATTTAAATCTACCATTTTTACACTAGCTTCATGACTTTCATTCTTCTCTTCAACTCGCTTAAAAGCACCAAAATTATTTGTGTTCACCACCAACATTGAGGTGGAGTAATTACATTGCATTGGTTCGGTAACAGTATTAATATTGGAGTAACAATTATCCTTAATTAGATGTCGAACACATAATATTACAGAAACATTAGACATCAGACAATTATTATAAATAGAATAATTTTCTACAGTTTTCACCTAACATTATACTTATTTTCACAGATAGCATATTGTTTCAATTATAGACTAAGTAACAATGGTTCGTAGTGATGCAGTCAATTAAGCAGGTAGCAGTGTTTAGTGCCTCTATGACAGAGGACAGGGTGAGATCACCGCTGGAAGCTGCTGCCGTGGACTCGCCTCCTAGCCCCGAGTGGCCCAGCCCTATGAACAATGGACATTCCTTCAGAATATAATAATACTAATTGACCACATAATGACAATGATTATGGTATATAATAAAGTTTTACACTTTAAAAAAAGTAAATTATACTTAATGTGCAAAGATATTGTTTTAAGAGCCTTGCTAATGAAGATATTCAAAATTCATTTCTACTTAGCATGTCACACTTAATTTTTTTGGATTCCATTACATAAATATATATAAACTAAATAGCATAATGTGTATCATATTACGTTGGCTTCCAGCAGTGTTTCTTTTTCTGGATTATACTCATTAATCACTTCCAATTTACCATTTAAGAATATTTATAGCTTTTTTGGTATAATTTTGTTCTCTTAGAGAATTTTACCGACTTCAATTAGAATAATCAATGTTCTCCTTAATATATTTATACTCAGAACAAAACTTCAGCACATATTTAGAAAAATTAAAGAACTTTTCCATGTTAGATACATTGTTTTGTGTTTAGGGTAGTTACATTAGTTCAAACTTTTTTCTTCTGTGCGAGTCCATATAATAAGTGGAGAACTATGTCGATTCTTGTAAATTTTGTCAGGAAAATCAATCAATCAAAAAGAAATCAATTTTGTGTAATAAAAATGGTATAAAATAGATAAACACTCTCAATTGACTGTTTTAGTACTTATTCATCAATATACAATTACTTTAGTGAAATCTAGTGAAATAAAGTAACATTTGTGTTCAAGATCTAGAAGAGCTAGTTTGTCAATGTTTATTTATTTCTTATAATATAAAATTTGGCACCTTTAATTTACGACGGATTAAACAGCTAGTCAAGTAAAAGGTAGAATGCAAAATAGTAGCCATACCTATTTATTATTTAAGTAATTGATTTGAAGACTATATTCTATGGCAGTTACCTTATAGGACGGACGAGAGGCTGAGCTGTATCACAGATAATGCGGGCTCGGCAAATCCTTTAGAGCAGCTTTGCAGGCGGCTCGAACGTTTCAGATTATCTGCACACAGAAGATTTAAGGTTCTTAACATCTTATTAGTGTTTGCTGTAACACCAAATACTATCATTGATACTTAAATATATTTTTTGTATTTTTTTGAGGTTATTTCAAGGTCCACGAAATAATACAATCTGAATGAAGGATGGCAATAACGTAGATGGATACATATTATCACAGGCCATGATGACATCAATGTAAACTTAACAATGATTTTAGTCGCAGTGTTATGATACAAACAAGTTTAGGACAATTACACGAAAATCATGATATTTCACAATCCACCAATCCAAAATGTATTCAATGTAACTTCGACGCAGGTAGGTACTTACAGAGCACATCGTGATTGCTTTCATACGTTAAAATATCACAATTCCAATTATTTCCAATTACAATTTTCACATTCCTAAAAAACCAATAATCTCTTCTTACATTATATACATAACTATTTGTATATTTCGGCCTTGAGACTCGACGACTCGATGTTGAATATCTACAGTCGTATACATGTATCTATCTATGCTATATCATCCACAATCTATATCTAGAGTGAAAGTTAGCACGACCCATATCCAACAAATTAAGCAAAGATTTTGGAAACAAATTTGTATTTCTCATGAACAAAGACTTTAAAGACATAAATATTGCAAAACTTCCTCAAAAATCACACTTTAATCAAGCAAAAATACATAAAATCTTACGTGACACGACCGAGCGCAACGGTGTTATATTACTAGGTGGAATGAGACAGAAAATTAAACATGTCGCTGACATCCCCTTTGTTAGAGGAAGAAAAAACATACGCCTGAGAAAGCGATGCCATAAATGCTCAGAACGATCAACGACGACATTATGTACTATTTCTAAAAAGTAACATAATTCTGTTCTTACCTCGGTTTTTAATGTTGTTGGCACATAAACTTAGAGATTTATACAAAATCACAATCCCAAACCCCCGAGAACACGGCTTCGACGGCTGGATGGAATGATTTCGTCGTCGGGGTTCGCACGGAGAGCTGCGAAGCGCTACTAATGCAAAACGTACGTTTACTTTACTGGAATACTGAGAGTTGACGTATTTTTAACGAGGCCGGGTAATAGCAATTTACTATACATATACATATATATATATATATATATATAACATTCAGTATGCGGAGCGGAGGGTATTATCTATAGCATCTATCTATAAATGTGTACCTACAATAATACCGTACGAATACTTAAGTAGGTAGCTACCCATTGGCTATTTTTATACCAAGTTTAGCTTTATATCAGACCTATTAAAACGATCATGATCGGTAGAATGGTTACTTATAGAAAATGTATTGAACAGGTAAAAGAAGAATAATACCTATTAGTTCCAATAATACCAATTATATTAACTATCCTCTAAGTGGTTCTAAGCCTCTTAAGGTACCAATCTACGTAAAGTTCAAGTATCATAAACAATTTTTTTGCCACACGCGTCATTAGAATTTTGTAAAAAGAGATCTAGATTGTTTTTATTATAAAAAATAAAGTAGTTATGAACTGTATAAATAATTAGGTATGTTTGTTGTTAAACCCCAATTTTGTTACTGTTTTTATTCATATTTTGTGAGAGTGTCAGTGTATTTGAATTACATTCTTCAGATAAAAAGGAATAAAACCTAGATAATGTCTCCTGCGATCTTGAATAAAGAGATTTGAAAAGTAAATCATATAAGACTAAATTTAAGCAATTATTAAAATTTGGAAATGAAACTAATATTATAACATTGATAAAATCAAGACAATAAAATGAAAACGTACCATCAATCGCGTTTTACTGTCTATTCTTACAGTAGCAACACAGTCGATGCTGGAAAATTCTCGTTTACAATAAATATTGACAGTACCTACATAGAAATAGTATGCCATTTCTAATATTCTATGAGTATTGTTTAGTTCATAAGAACTAAACCAACTGTTCGTTAGAAATCGAACCGCGAATATTCAATATAACTTTAGAATTTATCCTTATTGTAACTTTGTTGCATGTACGGAATGGAACGTTTTTCATTGTCATTCGGAATGCTTAGGTACGTTCATACCTAGGGATGTTAGATTGTGATGAGCCAAAACTGGTACAGATGTTACTTAAAGGCTCTAAAAGTTGGTACACACACAATAACGTAATATTAATAATAATGGAATGGAACGTTTTTCATTGTCATTCGGAATGCTTAGGTACGTTCATACCTAGGGATGTTAGATTGTGGTGAGCCAAAACTGGTACAGATGTCGCTTAAAGGCTCTAAAAGTTGGTACACACACAATAACGTAATATTAATAATAATAATAAATCGTATATTTTGTATCTTCTTTTAAACGAAATTTTGAATTATTGAAGAAATGCTTGATTATTTGAAAAAAAAAAACATACCTGATAAAAAATTAACAATAATAGTTATTATATATGGTGACGGATTAAGAATACGGAATGTCACCACTCCATTTCATCCCGTGGGTGTCGTAAGAGCCGACTAAGGGAGCAAACTACGCAGCACAACAGCACTGCAAAGAGAAGGAAAACTTGAAACAAACCCTATACCAACCCGTCTGGCCAGCGTGGTATAGTAGGCCAAAACCTCCTTTCTAAGGAGAGGCCTATGTCCAGCAGAGGCTGCTATAGGCTGTTGATGATATATATATTATAACTAATAATGTCTATACATCATTTGAAAAAAAAAAACAACCTTGAGTTACATTGACCGAATTGCAGGGCTCACCCTACCACGTAACATTTATCATAGACATACAGAACAACATAAGCATAAACGCAATTACACTATCATAAAAATAATTTTACACAACACTCGTATTCGTCCTAAGTGGGAATTGAACCCACGACCTCCGGCTTCACAGTCATTTATCACATTTATCTAAACACTTAAGTTTTGGAAATAGTTATTTATTACTTCTTAACACTACTCAAGACATTCACGGCACTTATGATTTTTACATTATAGTGTTGAGTGATGTGGGTCGCTCCAGAATGAGCGTATAGTAAGTACGTTAGGTTAGTTGGTCCATGGCCCCCTTACAGCCTGCGCGTTCACGTGTTATTTTTGACATTCCATCTTTATTTTAATTAAGTACATTCAAACAGTATTATATAAATAGTATAAAGTGTTGTATATGGATAGTTTATTCTAAGTCACGTTGTGTAAATTGTGTGTCTCTTGTTTGTACTCCTTCTGTCTTTTAAATAGTATATCGTGTTGTGTACAGACCATATAATTATACCAGTAAGTGGATATTGACTTTTATTTATATTCACCCGTAAGTACACATACAGCTCCACGTTACTATAGGATTATTATTTTATTTTTTCACAAAATCATACCCATCATTGATGGATAATTCAGTCGATTGATAAGGTTAATCTGAAATAAGTTACTCAATGGGTCAAAAATAGATATCATTATGAACAGTAAATTCTTACAATAATCAATGTTGTAGCTATGACGTACAACAAGATATATAGAGACAAGAACAAAAATGTATGATCAATGTAGAAAGGTGGTATTATTCCGTACTAACACAATATTTAGTTGGTACATGGTAGAAGACCCTGAAAATGGTACGTATACCAGGAAATTAGAACCATTTCAGAAAAAGAGAAAAATAAATTTCTGTAAGAATGCTTCCTCAATATTTGAAAAAAACCCAGCTAATACGAATAAAACACATAATTTGTTTATTTTGTAATACATTGCAAGACACATTTTTTCACTTTTTCAGTAAAATTAACTTCTTCAATAGGCAAGATGTAAATACAAAGAAGAAAAAAGGTTTATTGTAGCAAAACAAATAAAACGTACCACGCGCCTTCGGCAGTTGACTGATTACGTTTTACTTGTTTGTTGCAAAAACTATTGCATTTTATGAAATTCTAATGATAGTGCAGTTAGTTTCGAGTAGGGTGCTGTTTTTCCACTGCAAAAAGTACGAAATTCGAAGTATTTCAAGTGATATAGACGTAAACTAAGAGGATCCTGTTTTAATAATAAATAATTTTGGAAAGTGCTATTTAAGATACGTCCATTGGTATTTTTTTTTATTTCTCAAATTTACAGGGGGGGGGGTCGAAAATTATGGTAATCATTGTTTTGGTATTGGTTGTTTATACATTTCATGTCTATGTTGTATTCTTGAAAAATATATATGTATATAATACGTATATAATACATGTATATATAATACGTGTATACGTGTATATAATACGTGTATAATAAGTCATAAAACGTGTTCGTCTAGTACTTAAATAATTATATTCTACATCTAATACATACATAAAATTATTGTCTATGCTTGCATATAAATGAAAACATGTACCTAAGTGGCTATGTATTTTCATTTATACGCAAGCAATACTTATTAGAGTAGTAGATATTTCTCAACTAATAACAAAATAATAATCACCAGAAAACATACAAACAACTTGTTGACAGTAGACGTCGAGTGAAATTTGACCTCACGTTTTGATCCACCAATGGCGTTGCTTTACAGAAATTTTTGAAGGGATTTGAAAAGGCCACTTTTTGATAATTAAATTTCTCTATTAACACTGCAACTTTCGGCTTAAGGAAATATACTTTGTCAGGTGCAGCAAAAATTAATTAAAGTTTAGAAATAAAAATATTTTGTCCATTTTGAAGTCAAGCATATATTCCATTTTTTTTTTATTAGATCTTGAACAGTACTGTTTAAGGTCTAATAAAAATTTTTTAGTGACGCACGCAAATAGTGAAATTTGCTGATATAATTGATTCTTATATTATTATGAACTAGCTGAGACCCGAGGTGTTACCCGCGTTTGTTGTTATAACCGCGGGCAACGCCGCGGAGCGAAGCTAGTCTAAAAAGAGTAGCCTAAGTTACTCCTTATGTCATAAGCTATCTGCCAGTGAAAGTCCCGTCGAAATCGGTCCAGCCGTTCCGGAGATTATCCGGAACAAACAGACAGACACATATCACTAGCGTTAGGCCAACCCAGTTCCATATTTCAATGTGAATGTGTGGCAATAACTTACGCTGCCACAACGGCCATGTCAAGGGGTATCAAGGACTACAACATCCAAATAATATCCGACAGCATGACCGTCTTAAAGGCATTGGAAGGCAACACAATGACCTCTGGTATTGTCTTCGAATGCCACCAAGCACTGGAACAGCTCGCTATATTGAATGGGGTAATCCTCCAATGGATTAAAGGGCACAGTAACTCACACGGGAACGATGCCGCAGATGAGTTGGCAAGGAGGGGCTCGGCAACCCCAACCTCTGGCCCAACCCCACTCCGTTTAACCGTTTAACCAATCGTTTAACCAAATACGATGCTGGGTCAGGCAATGGACCTGTGAAGCACACAACCGGAGGTGGAAAAACTCACCCGGCTGCAGACAGTCCAAACTGGTGCTGAATCAAGTCACACCACGACTCACCTGCAGACTGATCAGTCTTAGCAGACCGGAAATCAGAATGGTTGTCGGAACTATTACAGGACATCTAGCCCTGAACCGACAACTATTCATAATCAATACGACGGACAGTCCCCTGTGCAGGGGATGTCTGGAAGCTGAAGAAACGGCCGTCCACGTAGTCCTGGAATGCGAGGGAGTGGCCACACAACGAGCAAGTATCATTCCTGATATAAAGTCGCTCCTAGAAGCCTGTGAACGCCCCAGGAGGCTTCTGCGCTTCTGGAAGGAGCTTGGCTGGCTCACCTAGTCAACCAATACGCGACGCATAAAGGACCACTCTGAGTCTAAATGCGGAAACCGAAGCCCACAAACAATACCAATACCAATACCAAACAGACAGACAGACAGACAAAATTGTAAAAAATGTTATTTTGGCATATGTACCGTGTAAACATACATATGCATTTAGTAAAAAGCGGTTATTTTAATATTACAAACAGACACTCCAATTTTATTTATTTGTATAGATATAGATGTATAGATGAGTGAGAGGTAGGTGTGCCTAAACTCTAACCAGTAGGTACTGATAGTCACTATGAAATTCAGGGAGAACTATTTTAGATAATCGAACAGAGCTTTGTTTAGTCTTACGTGGCCTCCGAATCACAGTTATTGAACTTCTCTTCCCAGACGATGGCCAGTAAGCTGCATGCCTTCACCACCAAAGGAAAATATATAAATCCTCAAAATGGACGCGTGCGGCATAAGCTTCTACGGCTTGCTCCGACACAGATTCGATTTCAGTCTGTAGGTCATCAAAATCGGTGTATAGTTCATCAAACTTACTAAAGCGCTAAGTTTTAAGCTCGAGACGGCGCAGCTCGGATCAGTTAGAAAAGCCTTGACTGTTACAGGAATTTGAGAAACACAAAATGGTATTTATATACATCTATTGAAAAAGATATATACCCGCACCCGACACGGCGTGCGGGTTTTGGTCGGTTCGAGTTCGACATAACCACCGGTGGGTGGTATCAGAGGGGTGTATTTCCGCACAGACAGAAAAAGAGTGGACATTACAGTTCTTTCACTTTTTTTGAAACTGCAGCACTGAATGTGTCAAAATAATGTGTCAAATCCGAGCACTCCACCACAGAGTATATTGAATAGTATGTATACCCCACTTCAAGCAGCTGCCAAAAGTGCCAAAGCCGTCGTTGACGGTATACGTATTAAACGTATGATAAAGAGAGCTGACTGAAATCTGTGTATTGTGGTTGACGTCACTACTGGTCTCTTTCTTATTTATTGTAGGTGTTCAAATGGATCAGAAAAAATGTTTAAATGTTGTATAAGATATTAGGCTGCAATGAGGTTTGATAACAGAACGTTATGCCTCGTTTCCTCCTAGGTTTAGGGAGGATGCTAAGGATGCCTGTAACAGAGCCTGGGGACCAATATTCAGTATGGGTATGTACGCATTTTTAATAAATAAAAGCTTATTACTTCAGGCACAACTATTTTCTTGAAAACGGTTTGCATATATCCTATTTCATATAAATATCTATTTATGTAAGTTATTGCTATTAAGAAATTAACAATAGAGTGGGAAACTTTGTAACTATTGTTTGTAACAATGGTGCCGTTTCGTACACTGAGGCTTTCAAAAGGGTAAAAGCTTTTAACCATAGGTATCTATTATTAAATATAGCAAATAAAATATATATTAAATACATAATATAATATGTTTTCCTATAACAAGTTATTGAAGAATTTTTTACTTAACATATATAAAAAAGTATTTGAACACTTCTTAATTAACCCCGAAAAATTTAAATTTAGAATTAAAATAATTTTACATGACTAAAGCTAAGTTTAAAACTATTTTTCCTAGGTGGGCCTAATATATATATTCAACTTGATTGTTGGAACTGGGGCTTTAACTTTGCCAGCAGCCTTTGCAAGAGCAGGATGGGGTCTCAGTACTATCTCATTGCTGTTTCTGGCATTTATGAGCTTCCTAAATGCAACATATGTTATTGAAACTATGGCAAGTGCTAATGCAGTTTATAAATGGAAAAGGTTGCAGAGTATTAAGAGAGATAGTGTAAGTATCAGTTATCCTTTTTAATGTAAAAAATTGTTGGTCAAATCAGCATTTTTCCAGAACTAAAGCAATTTGTATGAATCAGCATTAAAATGACATTTGAAAGTTATTACTCATATGTTATTCTGTTTTCTATTCTATTTCATATTTAAAAAAACAATTTCTGCACTAGGTATTCCTAGTGCAGAAATTGTTTTTATCCTGTTTTGTGGAGCCTTTACATATATTCATAAAAAGGACACAAAGAATACCCAGACTCAAAACAACAATTTGTGGATCACACAAAGCATTCTCTCATGTGTAAATCAAACCCATAACACTAAATGTAGTAGGAAGCAGTGAGGAGACCGCTTAAACAACTATGCCGTCTGTGTGATCAATGTAATGTAGGCACTCAATGCAGGCAATAGTAATAATAGTCTTTTAATAACAATAGTGATGATTGTATTTGATGAGATGTAATTATTTTTACATAATAAAAAGTGACTGTCTGATGTCATTTTAACAGCTAATCCCACTGTACTAATAGGGTTGGTAATCCTTACATGCATATACATACATCCATACATACAAACCTTAAAGTATTAATCAGTACTGACTAGGGTGAAATCTTTGGTAGCACTATTCAATGTTATCAAATATCTTAGTACCAGTAATAAAGCCATCACCAGTTTACAGTCAGTTGTGCACGAAAAAGACACTTTTTTTTAAAAAGCTTCTTTTATCACCGTAGTTCATGGGTCACCTGATGGTAAATGACTATCGCCGACCATACACACATGCAAGTCAAGTCACTTGTCTTCAAAAATGTAGCATTGGCTTGAAAATCATAATGCCAATAGCTATAAGGTTTCAAAAATTTTGATTGTTTTAAAGATTATTAGAAATTCATAAAATAACATTTAATATCAGTTCATTATTCAATTATGTGAAAAGAGCTTATCTAAATGAATGTGAAACCATTAATATCAATAACATACAAACTATGTCAATTCACATTTGCAACACTGATTACTGGTTAATGAAGTGATAGGAAGCATGTTTTTATAAATCAGGGACAACCTTGATTGAAATTTCATTGTAAACCCTCACACCTTCGTTAAATCAGACCATATTCAGTCTGTTTGAAACGAGTATTAAATGAAAAAGCAAAAATACTAAGTGTATGATTCCGTCACTAAACTTCATCAGTACTATTATAGAGGAAATTGATTGTAATATTGGATCAGCAGTGACATACAGGGATGAGATCCAAGTGCGATTCAGTGTTTTTATATAACTGGAGATATTTCATTGAAGTTCTTCTAGCTAGAGACCCTGACTTGTCGGCATTGATTAGATTGAGATACAGGTTTGTCGCCCTAACCTGCTCGAGATATTCATTCATCATCATCATCATCAACAGCCTATAACGGTCCACTGCTGGACATAGGCCTCTCCTTTTGGCCTACTATACCACGACGGGTTATATAGGGTTTGTTTCAAGGTTACCTTTTCTTCGCAGTGCTGTTGTCGTAGTTGTCTGCTCCCTTAGTCGGCTCTTACGACACCCACGGGATGAATAGGGGTGGTGACATTCCGTATTGTTAATCCGTCACCACACGGACAATATTGCTTACACACTCCAAATTATCCATCATCATCTCAGCCGAAACACGCTTACTGTTGGACATAGGCCTACCCCCCTCAATAATATCTCCGATATTTCTGCATCATATTATATTAGTTATTATATTAATTTTTTCTGCAATCCAGGAGCTATTCTAATAGGATCTCTGTTAAGCATACACTTACCAGTAGGCTCCTCCTCTTAAATAAATAGGATATTTGTAATTGACTTAACTATACCTGTTAATTTCTAGATCCAAGATCATGATTCAGACGAAGAGCATACTAATACGCAGAGCAGTCATGGTGACCTCGAAGAGCCATTAGTATGTGGAGATACAATACCATCGCGGTATTATAGTCTGGATCGTCATGTCGAATTAGGAGAGATGGCGAACTTGTTCTTTAATAAAATCGGCCGAACTGCGTTTTATTGTGCGCTGTGTACTTATTTGTATGGAGACCTTTCCATATATTCGGCGGCTGTGGCCAAGTCTGTTATGGATGTAACTTGGTGAGTGTTAGAGAGCTACATTTAATTAAGATTTAAATTTATTCAGTTTATTGCGCATTGAATCATGCACTTATTTGAGAGAGAATAGAATAGTAAATGCTTAGAATTAAGAGAATAATGAAAAGAACAGTAGGTACTAACCCTATTCTAAAGTTTGTCATTTATTAGATTATAATTTAATGGTGAACGTAAAATGGTGCGTAAAAAAATTATGACTGACATTAGCATAACATATAATGTTCATCCCAATTATGTTTGATCGGGCTGGGCGAGTTGCGTGCTAACTACATTATATAGTTAATGTTCAGCTCTTGAAGGTGGTCACATTCACAATCCGATCCGGAATAATACATTTGAGTTACTTCGCACACATCTAAGCGAGCAAGGGATACTAAAATCGACGGAGTTTTCTGCAATTGTTTTCTCAAATACATGCTTCCATAATACATAAAAAAAACGACTACACCAACTGTGTATGGTCCTCCGAAAAGGTGTGGAATATTTCTTATTAATATTGCTTCAAAGCCGCTGACAATTCAATGATAAATAATGTAAATACAGTGTAGAAACTACATAAACTTCATTCATTATTCTATATTGGATCAGGTGTAGTTTACTACAATAGCCATCTATAAAACAAAATACGTCATTTCCAATTACATACTATCTTTTTAACGTTTTCTGTTGTGAACATGTTTGCAAGGATAACATACCCTAAGATGTAGGCTGTACCTACTGAATTCTTCGAAACAATTTCTCTTGCCCTTTTTTATAATTCATATTACTTAACGAACAACCCAACAGTATGGGGTTCCATGAACTATGTACCTACTAGAAAAATAGGGTTAAAACTGTATGACATCTTGCAGACTTCACTATCCAAAACAATATTCTTTGTTATTTTGTGCAAAAGTTGTTGTAATGGTAATATCCACAAAAAACAAATCTAATTATCAACAATCAAACTAATATTAATTATCAACATACTCAATCAGACGTGATTATGTGATGTGACTTTTACGTTTAATATACTTATAGAGACACGAAAATTCTTGTAACTTATTAAGTTTTATTTACATTGATTCTAATTGCTCTGAGTATTATAATATTTGCAAACATTGTAAAACAGGTAACAAGCAATATTGTAAAACAATAACTCGTTTATAACGGTGTAATTCCTACGAAGATACTATTCAAGTTTTTTTTAATTAGAAGTTTAGAGGTATATTAAAATAAAAGGCTATCTTTACGTATCAATTAGATCATGTTCATTTCTTGTTTAACTTCAAAAATATAGTCACACAAATTAAATATCAGACCTTTTTACGGAAAAAACTACTTTGAGAGACTTAATTTTTTACAATTAGGTACCGTTTGATTCATTTTGTGAGTAGATTTTAAACGCATGTTTCATATGTGAGTTTCTGTACCCTCTCACATCCAATTTTATACTTTACTTACCTAATTTCAAAACTAACTAATGTCTGAAATAAACACGATCACAAAGACACTTGCAGTCAATATAATTTACACTACCTAAATAGATAGGTAAAGGAAAAATTGTTTATCTGTAACTCTTTGTAGTCAATATTATATATACAATATAATAATATTATTTGGCGGGCCTGTTGGTGTGGTGACGGATTAAGAATACAGATTGTCACCACCCCTATTCATCCCGTGGGTGTTGTAAGAGTCAACTAAGGGAAAAAACTACGCAGAACAACAACACTGCAGAGAGAAGGAAAACTTGACACAAACCCTATACCAAACCGTCTGGCCAGCGTGGTATAGTAGGCCAAAACCTCCTTTCTAAGGAGAGGCTTATGTCCAGCAGTGGATCATTAAAGGCTGTTGATGATGATGATGATGGGCCTGTTGGATTAGTGATTAGTGACCCTGACTGCTAATCCGGGTTTGATTCTCACCCAGAACAGATATTGTGTGATAAGCACGGTCATTTGTTCTGTGTCTGGGTGTAATTTGTGGGCCGGTGCATTGAAGTCTTCTCGTTTTCTCCAGTTGCCTCGGACGAGATCAGAAGAACCATCCTGAAGATAACATCTAATTGTCACCGTATTAGACCAACTTCTTCTTGTAATCCCTCATATAGTCAACTTTTCCCTTTACTCCGAAAACTTCCCGGCCGCATGGCGCAGGGCATACGTTTGTCCTCTTCCAAAGATTCCTAATCCTTCCCTCCCGAGCCATTTCCGACCCATATCAATTCTCCCTTTCCTATCGTATAGAAGCGTGTGTTCACAAACAACTCTCAAAGTTTATCCATCAAAACAATATCCTCAGCCCATTTCAATCAGGATTCAGACCTGGTCATAGCACAGTTACAGCTATGCTTAAAATGACCAGCGATATTAGGAATGGGGTGGAAGACGCAAAAGTGACTGTCCTGGTCCAGATTGACTTCTTCAACGCCTTTAACACGGTTAACCACGATATCCTTATATCTATCCTCACTCACTATATGGTCTCCACCGAAGCACTGGAATGGTTTTCATCTTATCTTCGTGGACGTCGGCAGTCGGTCCGCATTGATGAAGTATCATCAAGTTGGTGTGATCTTGGCGCTGGCGTTCCACAGGGTAGAATTTTATCACCTCTCTTATTTTCGATGTTTAATAATCTCATTACCCTTCATCTTCAATGTGCGTATCATTTGTATTCGGAAGAACTTCAAATTTATTCACAGACCAGCCTCGATAATTTAGCAGAAGCAGTCGATAACATTAACAGTGATTTGGAGGCAATCAAAAACTGGTCTGAGCTGTTCGGTGACTGTGAATCCCTCCAAGTGTCAGTCCATAATCATAGGTAGCCCCAGAATGATGAGCAGATTAAACACATCAAACCTGCCGGCGATCGTTTACAACGGATCCGACATACCGATCAGTCCATTTGTCAAAGATCTTGGCTTATGGATTGACTCCAGCCTCACTTGGCAACCACAGGTTGCGAACTTAAGTCAAAAAGTCACTGGAACCTTGCGATCACTGTATCGGCTAAATAACTTCCTTCCACATACCACCAAATTAATGCTTGTACAGGCTTTGATCTTTCCAATCATCGATTTTGGTGATGTATGCTACCTCGACCTGAATGCAGATCTACTCCACAAACTTGATCGTCTTCTCAATAATTGCATTCGATTCATCTTCAACCTCCGGTAGTATGACCATGTGTCTGCCTATCGATCCCAGCTGTCGTGGTTACCTACACGTCAGCGCCGTAGCTTGCGGGCCTTGACTACCCTTAATTCTCTTCTTAATAATCCAACAGCTCCTACTTACCTTACTTCACAGCTTAAACGACTATGCTCCAACCATGACAGAGATCTTCGGTCCACTAATAATCTTTTACTCTTTTGTCCAATACACACTTCTTCTCTTGTTCATTCTTCATTTGTTGTCCCATCTATCCTGCGCTCCCACTTGAGATCAGGATGTCAGGAAGTCGCGACACGTTCAAAGCTAAAGTCCGAGAATTCTACAGGAAACAGCTCCCAGAAATATCCTCATGATTTCGTCACCTCAGACATTTTTGTATTTATTTAATTCCGTATGTATAATGTAATAAATTAATAGTTATTTATGTATTCGTCTAAGTATTTTGAATAGTATTATCAAATTAATGTTTTATTTTCATAGTTTCTTCTTTTTATATAATACATATGCACCTGCCATGCCCCTTACTGAACCATCTTGAGGTTGACTGGTAGATAATGCCATGTGGCATTAGTCCGCCTCGTGCAAGTTGTAATGCAGGAAGTGTAAAAATAAATAAATAATGTATGTATAAAATGTATGTATTTAGAAATATATCATTATGTTTATCAGCAGTCTGGTTGCCATAGTAAAGGCTCTGCCTAGTTGGGGATCAGACTGCCGTGTGTTAGATGTGTGAAGTTATTATAGGTATAATAGTATTGAATAAATGAAAAAAATATTATGTTGTCTTCCAATACACAAACATACAAAGTCATTTCGTTTGTTAAATAAAAAGATGGTGATATAACTTTGTCTTAAGAAACATCTCCCGCACTAGAAATAAATCCTGTGTCGCGAGGGACTTGACAAAAATACATGAAATATACACAAAGAACACCCAGACTCAGGACAACAATTTGTGGATCTCACAGTGTCATCCCATGTGGGGATCGAACCCACAACACTCAGCGTAGTAGGAAGAGGCGTGGCGACCGCTGAAACCACTATGCCATCCGTGCAGTCAGTGGTGATATAACATTGATACGATCCCGATATGTTGTTACTAAACTCATTAGATAACTGTTAGAAATCACAACTTTTTCACAACAGCTTTAGAAGACTTTCATTTTTTATACTTTTATGTTTTTGATAGGATATAAAGTCTGTATCAAAAGGTATTTACCCATAATTTATCGTAATGTTTTTTCTAAGAAGTACCTACTTTCTACAGTCACGTTCAATAATTATTAATTACAATGTTCATGTAAGAATATAATAAATAATAATTTTACGTGCTCAAAAATTCTTAAACATTTTTGATTATTAAAATAGTTAGATCATTTGCTGTATAGTATTTAGACACGTATTTAATATCTCATGCCTACTGAAGACATTTTACCAAACTGTTGATCCCTGATGGAAGATTTAAATACCATTTCAATGTTGATGTCATAATATTTGTCCAAACTTGGAACCTTAGCAGTGTAAACTCGCCCCATGAATGTCCATTGAAGTAATAAAATATATTCACTGAAAAATACATCTTAAAAAGCAAGAATATCTTTAGGGTTGCGTACCTCAAAAGGAGAGAACGGAACCCTTATAGGATCACTTTGTCGTCCGCCTGTCTGTCAAGACTCTTTATCTCGGGAACACGTCGAGGTATCGAGTTATAATTAAAACTATATACTCAGTCTATAGTCTCTTGAAGTTGTGAAAAAAATTATGTTAACGTAAAAAAAGATGCAGCCATTTATGCCAAAAAACGCATATTTCGACACTCTCATATGATATTTCCCGTTCGCCTAGAAATCCAGGGTAAAATCTAAAAACTATACATTTGTAATTAAAAAAAAAGTATTTATTTGAAGTACGTAATCAATCATCAAGGTACAATTCCACTTATAAAATAGAATAAGAAATTATAGGTTTTTGAAACTGAATTTCGAGAAAATTTCGGAAAAAACTGAAACTGTATGTACCTACAAATTTGTACGGAACCCTGTGGGCGAGTCAGACTCGCACTTGTCCGTATTTTTTTAAACCCAAGTATATCTAATTTTATTACTAAGCCGAACCACACTGGGAACAAATTCATTTATTAAACATGATTTGAACACCGTATCCTTATCAAATACACTGTGACGTCAATATGTATCTACAATGTTAAAATGCCTATTGATTCGTGTGAATCTAACAGACAGGCTCTAATAAGTAAGTAAGTGTAATCAAGATTAGATTAGACTTAATGTATTATAAGTAGAGGTAGAATATATGCTAATATTACGTCTACTTAGTATTATTCAAAACTGAATGCAACTAGACTGTATTAATTAAAAACCGTTATTTATTAGCCCACCGTTGTTGTTTGTTGAGATTTTACAGTGTTCTGCACGCTAGTGATCTCAATTTACATAATGTTATTATGTTCCGCTACTCCAAACACGTTTTAAGATAAAGATGAACGTGAAGTCGTTAATTTTGATTTAATTACATTGCGAAATCTCTTCCTAAGCTAATATTATTACTATAAATACTGTGTGTGGTGATTTAAACGACTTATTTAAGTATGAAAATCTGAGTAACTACAAGTAATCTCAAACTCAAATAATGTTTATTGAGTAGGCCTTGTTACAGTGCACTTTCAAACGTTAGAGATCTTGTGTTTGACTCAGCCCTTTCTGGTTTTTTTCTTAACAGTTCTCCCGTTCCAACAAATATGACGAACTCTGCTTCATGGGATCACCTGCCTTGCTTTAACTCTTCAGCAGCTGATCCAACAGCATATACCAGACTGGACCTGTATAGAGTCGCCTTGCTAACATTTGTGGCAGTTATGGGACCCTTTGTGTTTTTTAACGTGCAGAAAACCAAGTATCTGCAACTGTTTACTTCGGGCATGCGATGGTTGGGTGAGTGTTTATTTACTTTCAGTCATATCGTTTGACCTCTTTTCTTAAACTTGGTACTTTTTTTGGTGACGGGGTGGAAATTACCTTCGGATCTCCGGTACCTATTATACGATTTTTACAAACGCGCTAGCTTTAAATAACAATGGTAATTCTTAGATTACGCAATTATAAACCAAAAGCTTATAATAAATAAGGTTGATCAATTTGACACATATTAAATATTAGTAAATCGCTCACATAACATTTAGATACTTATTCTTTTTCTGTGCCGAACCGACCAAAAACCGCACGCCGTCTCGAGTACCAGTAGCTGGGGAACCAGGTGTACTCTACAAAAAAAATCCCGAGGGGATTTCCGCACGGAAAAAAAAGAAAAAAAAAACTCCTCCTGTGTGGGAACCCCGATTGACCCAGGATCTTCTGTTCCTCTGATGATCTAGGAACAGAAGATCCTGAGTAACGGCCCACTATCGCCTGGAGAATTCGGATATGTGGATCCGTTATTGGATTTCCATCTCCGCATCCCGCTGCGAACCTTACCGCTCTTCAGCGACACCCTCTGTCTCCGTCGAGGGCTTACTGCCAACCCGGTGGCCAACAGGCTTGCCTCCCGCTGCGCACCTAAAGCAACGCAGCGGAGCATTGCAAGAATCCGCCTTATGACCTGGTAACTTCGCTATGCACTGACTGACTTTCGTCTCCTTTTCGTGGGCCTCATTCTAGGCCACGAGGAGCCTCAACAATAGAGCGTAAGGGAAAGTGGGGGAAACACGAACACCTAAGGGAAAACTTAAATAAAACAGTGGAATTTGATCACAGAGTTTCTTTATTGTTTAATTATAAAGTTTACTTATCTGTCTAACGAATTCACTAATCAACATTTATATTTCTGATAAATTGTAGGAATATATAAAAAAAAAAACAAAACCCATAGTGTTCGGCCGGTATTTATCTTGTATGGCCTTCAAATTATCATAAAAAACTTTAACGTCAGTTTCATTGAACGCAGTGATACGATTCAGTGAAGTCGCCTCAGGTGTCCTCAGGGATATGCTGGAATGTCTTTTCATGAAATTGTAATACCAGTCTTTTCAGTCGGTTTCGGTCGAAATTGTGCGGAAGTTTGGTCATCTCTTTATGGTTATGGTTAGGCCATAATAGAGTTTACAGCACTTTATGATATAATCGACAAGTTGCGTTTCCTGCTCGTCTGTAAATAAAGGTTTTCGACCGGACCTTGGCTGTTTTATCACTGCTTTCTTTAGGTGGTCAAAAATTGTTGTTTTTGGAACATTATAAGTTTCTGCTGCTCTGCCGGCAAGTAAAATCAAATGGCGGCAAGTAAAATATGGCTATATCTTTCTAACACATTAGAACCATTGGATTCGAGAATACCCCCGTTCGCGTTTCCCCTACTCTCTCCTACAGAAGTCATAAACGCCTTTCTTTTTGTTGCCTCGGATCCACCTGTCAGCCTGTCCCTTATGGCAGCCCGACCGCTTTTGGGAGGTCGATCTCCGCAACGAGCCCTTCGGCGTCTTGTGTCCACTTTAGGTGACGCTATTCTCTGCTCACCCTACTGGTACTGCTATGCAGCTGGACACCATTGGAGTGCTAGCACCACTCCTTTCTGAGGTAGTGTCAGATTCCAACACTGGCTCAGGCTTATGCTCATCCTTCGCTTCGTTTTGGTCGCCGGGCTGCTCTTTGGCTGACTGACTTGGCTGGGCTATATAACGACTTATAAGACTTAACGACCATTTTATTGAGTGACTTTTTAATATTAACTCGTTTGTAACCTACAAAAAAGTATTTATCTCACTATTATTCATATTAGGAGTAGTGGGTTTCAGATCAAATGTCTATTGCGATTTCGAGGGCAATGACATGCCACATATACCATAACGACGACTACAGACAGGCACACGTTGTTATTGATGTGTCAATATTAGTTTCATATCGAACGCATGTTGAATAAAGTGTGTCACCAATTACACAGTATAAAGTCATAACGTCAAGAAATATTTAATAAATACGCGATACAATTGCTTTAAAATGTAATGATATTGTTTTTATGTTTTTAGTTTGATTCATATCATTTATGTTTTGATTACAGTCAGAATCTTAAATATGTGTGAACTTGCATCGGTCCATTTTACATATGAACAAACACACAATATTTCTACGCTCGTACATAACCTTCTACCTGACAGACATTTAACTTCTTCTCTGTGATTATTAAAAAAAAATTGTGTATTTTTGTAATTATCTATGACATTGATGTTCATGATTTTTAATTAGATTTTAATTATTTAGAAATTTAATTTTCTATAATGCGGATGAATATGTATTAAATCTTATCGATTTGATGTGTGTATAGACGCTCACACTCGCATTGTGCATTTATGGGTAGATGAGGTCAGCAAATGCTATACTGCGTTTCAATTCGGTGTGTCGTTCATATGATGAATATTTATACAATTTGTAGGTTACAAAATGCCAAAGTTTATTTATTTTTATTACTTTATCAGTATTATTTAGGGGTATGGTAATGTAATTCTTTTACATTTGCAGTTAGAAAAATAATTTTACGCTGTTAGGAAGAAGGGTTTTTATGATGTGGAGGATATTTAACCATGTAATCGGTGACAATTTTCAATTTGCTCTTTACAATGGTAGGTATGAAAATCATCCTTTAGGCAGCGATAAGGCGGGGCAAGAGTGAGACCCGCCGCGAGCTGCTGGAGACATTGGAGCTAGATCCGTAGGGATGCCCCTACCGTATGGTTAGGGACAAGCTGCGCCCATGGGCTCCGCCTCTGACCCGGTGTCTTCAGCCAGCGCTGCTTGAGGTGATCGTCGCCTCCCTGTTCCCATCGCGAGTGGTGGAGCATACCTTGGGCAGAGGTAAGGGTGGCGGTGCTACGCCTTAAAGCCAAGAACACCGCCCTGGGACCTGATGGCATTCCAGGCCGAGCATGGGTCTTGGCCCTAGATGACGTGACTCTCGAGCTCCGACTGAGAGGGCTCTTTAGCACATGCCTCGAGCGGGGCCAGTTTCCGAAATTGCACGGCGCCTCGTCTAGCACTTCTCAGGATGGGACCGTATCTGGCGGACAACCAGTACGGTTTCCGTCAGGGGCGCTCCACCGTGGATGCGACCATGCACGTGAGATCTCTGGCGGAAGAAGTAGTTTCGAAGTGGTGTTGGCGGTGTCCTTGGACATCTCCAACGCGTTCAACACTTTGCCTTGGAGTTGCATCAGGGAGGCGCTAGTGTATCCCAAAATGCGTCATTACCTCCGCCGCATAGTATGCCCCGACTATGACTAGTTGGAGAGAGCTGTCGTCTACCCAAGTCGGACCGGTCTCGGCTGGCGTGAAATGTCGTGCGGTGTTTCGCAGGGGTCGGTGTTAGGAACCTGTGGAACATCGGCTACGACTGGGTGCTTCGTGGTGTTTTCCTGGATAGTGTCGCCGTCGCGTGTTATGCGGATGACACACTAGTACTAGTGACGGGCCGTCACTGACGGCTTGCGGCAAGACGCACCTTGAGGCAAGCCTGAGAGCCACGACCGGGGTTGCCCAAGTCGTAGAGTGGATCCGGCGGCTGGGTCTCGAAGTGGCTCTGCACAAATCCGAGGCCTTGTTCTTCCATGGGCCTCGGAGGAAGCCACTTGAGGGATCCAACCTCATAGTAGGAGGGACTCGCATCGGCGTCGAGCCCTCGTTGTGGTATCTGGAGCTCGTAATCGATGAATGATCATGAATCGATGATGAATCCTTTTTATATTATATATTAATGACCTTCCAAAATGTACAAAAAATACTGTAACGCTTTTCGCAGATGATAGCACAATTACTATATCTTGTAATAATGATATAACTCAATATAAATATGACATTACGGATTCCTTGACATCCATAATAAACTGGCTTGACATTAACAATTTAAAAATCAATTTAAATAAAACTAAGATTATACATTTCAGCCAACGGATCGCTCCAATCAGTTATATATACCAAAATATAAACATTGACAATCATAGTATAGAAAATGTTACGACTTCGAAGTTCCTCGGGTTAACGATAGATAAAAAACTAGATTGGAAATCACATATAGAGACGCTTTGCAAAAAATTATGTAGTTCTGCATACGCTTTGCATACGTTAACGTCAATCGTCAATACAGAAACAGTGATGACCGCATACTACGGTTTAGTTGCCTCAAATTTACGCTACGGCATCATTTTCTGGGGTAACTCTACAGATACATTGATTGCTTTTAAGTGTCAAAAGAGATGCATACGGTCAATGTTTAAACTAAAAACAAGTGATAGCTGTAAAACTTACTTTCAGAGGTATAAAGTATTGACGTTGCCAAGCATTTATATTTTGGAAATGTCAATGTTTGTTAAAACAAATCCAGGCTTATTTCCGCGGCTTGAGGATACGGTTACACGGAACAGGCGTGATAATAGTAGACTGCGCCTACTCCAAGCAAAAACTGTGCTTATGCGTAGAAGTGTTTTCTGTATGGCTCCAGTAATTTATAACCATTTACCGCAACAATGGAAAAACTTGAGCATAAGTGCATTCAAGAGCAAGTTAAAAGAATTTTTAGAAATGAAAGCATACTATTCTGTAACTGAGTTTTTAACGGAGAAAATATAATAGAATGAATGTTTTTAATAACTACACCATACCCTCTATTAATACACTTTTTTAATAAATGTGATACATTGTTTATTATGATTATGACATTTTTCATTTTTTTAATAATATAATTGTAATTGTTATTTTAATTGATATTGACATAAAATAGAATTCTGACCTCGTATGATGTATTAAATAAGCCCAACTCGTTATTAATGTTATCTTATTGCATGCCTAAAGGTAGAATGTGGCAGAAAAAAATATTATAACTGTAACACCTAATTGTAAACCCATGTTCGCAATGAAAATAAACTGATTGATTGATTGATTGATGGCCGATGGAACTTAGGACATCAATTCCGAGGTCTGGTCCCCAAGTTGGTTGGAGCAGCGCGTGCACTGGCGCGGCTGCTGCCTAACATGACCACCCGATGACTCCTGCAGGAGACTGTACTCGGGGGTTGTGGGGTCCACGGCTTATTATGGGGCCCTAGTATGGGCGGGGCCCTGAAGGCCAGCACTACTGCGACGACCGCAGAGAGTGCTGACCATTAGGGTCATAAGGGGGTACAGCACGATCTCCTTTGAGGCGGCAGTCTCTTGGCCGGAACTCCACCGTGGTACCCTTCCGGCTCTGTATCGGTGGCGTAAGGAAGCGCGGGACAGAATGCCCGGCTTGGGTGGAGCAGAGGCGTGACCTCGTGGTGGCCATCGGAGTGGGTGTCCTTTCGCTCAGTAGTATGATTGCCGCCATGGTACGGAGCGAGTGCTTGGAACTGAGCTGTCTCCTTCTGCGAGCAAGTTAGGCTTGCGAAGAAGATGGCGAAGCGGGACCGAGAGAGGTTTAGAACAGTCCCGGCCCGGGCCAGGTACCGTAGACGACTCGGGCGCCGGAGGTCGCAGAACCTCCGTCCTCCATAAGCATTGGGCGATGTTCGTGATCGTTTCTCAATTGATTACATTTTATACGAAGGTAACACTAATTAATAATTATAATATTTTATACCTCATTCACACAACGCCATTTAGTCCCAAACTAAGAGCTTGTGTCTACTAGACAACTGATATAAATATACTTTATACTATTTTATTCATTTTTTTTGTAACGTATGTAGTTACAAAAAAAATACTTATTATTATTCATAGAAACACCAAGACAAAATTAAAAAACTAAATGTAAATGTACACAAATGTTTGAATGAAGCGGACATCGAACCCGCGACCTTTCGAGTAGCAGTCCGTTACACAAAACACTACACCATCGTTCATCGTCACTATCACCGTCAATAAGGTTGCCTTATTATCTCACAGACAAGCAATGACAAGAAAAAAATTACACAAATAATAGCCTAATAGCTTGTGGTCCTCGTCTAACGTGTTACTAATTGTATAGCTGCATCTCGCTTGCGCATGTTTATACTGAAATTTGCTATGAAAGACCATCAAGTAACTATCTGACTGTTTACACCTGATTAAAAAACAGATTCAGTTTATTCGCTTTTCGCTATAAACATCGAGATAAATTTATTCCCAGGTTGTCTGACAGTATAACTGAGGATTGAAAAACCGGCCCTTAAAAATATTCTTACATTTAATTAATGACATTCGTCGTAATGCGTCAAAAAGAGGGTGATGCTTTTCGAGTGTATGTATGTGTGTACGAGTATGTATATTTCCTTGGCACACCCTAGTCTGGTGTACGGCTTTATGAATTTTGGCTTGGGAGTTGTCATTAGATTCGTCTGAATTCTGAGAGCGATATTGGGTATATGAAAATCATATTCACACAGTCGGGTTATTTTCAACACGCTTTTATTAGCTTGGTATGTATGTATCTATGTCATCTTTGAACGTCGAACGAACACTTCTAAACGTCGGATTGAATTCCAACTACGCACACTTATCAAGAACCGATGACAATACAATAATTTGAGTCGGATTATAATGATCAGGATCTTAAAGGATTAAGGGTTTTTTCCAAAACTTAAATTACGGTAGTGTCTTTTGTCACGTACATCACATCCATTACAAACATCTGACAATAAAAAAAAATACTTTCGATCCCACGCATTTTTACGATAAAATTAGTTAGGTACTCTAGTTACAAAAGCGTGTTTTTTAAATTATAATTAATTTCAATAATTAGCTTGTTTCTAATTTGTTACGGTACGATAAGATTTTTGTATACACATTTTCCTTACCTACTGTACCTTTTATTTAGAAACTTTATATGTTGAATATAATTTCAATATTTTGCACACCTAGGATGTAGCTTTATTTATGAAGCCGACTGTACATCCTCGGCAATTAATTTCTAGCACCTTGTTTTATCGTGCTAATCGCAGTAGGTATCTATAATTATCTAATTGTGTATGTAATTTTTTCTTTTTGTGATAGGTATGTTTTTCTATCTATTATGATAGTTGCGTTGTTTAAGGCCCCTGTAGTTTGTAATTTACCTACGAAAATTAAAAACTGTAAATTCGATTGTGAGCGTTACATCCTCATTTTGCTTAAATACCTTAGGTATGAAACTGTAGAAGGTTTACTTGAATGGCGTTTTGTGACACAAAACACTGCACACACACTATTGTAAACCATACGTTTTGTTTCCTTACTTTCTGTTTAAACATTCGACGTTGACTTCTATCACAAAGCAGGCACAGACATCACTTACATACATCTAAAATTTCTATTTCCCTTACATTGAAATAATTTTATAGTTATTAATTAATTTTACTGAATCATAATACGTGACACTCATGCTGTTGCTTAGTAAATGACAGCGCGCTATCAAATAATAAAGCTAACTTGTAATGAACCAGACGTGAAAGGTAATTTATTGCAGTTGGTACACAACATTTTTCTAATGTTTATTTTTGTTTCAGCTTTCACAATTATGATTTCAATGGCTATTCACCTGCTTATCGGTCGTGGACCGCAGGGGCATCCTCCAGCCTTCGACGTGACCGGCATGCCGACGCTCTTCGGTGTCTGCGTGTACTCCTTTATGTGCCACCACTCATTACCAGGCCTCATAACACCTATTAGAGGGAAATCACACCTCGGTTTGCACCTCTCACTCAACTACGCAGTCATAGCTATATTTTATCTCCTCCTAGCATTTACCGGAGCTTTTGCATTTGCACAACTGAGTGACTTGTACACGCTGAATTTCGTCCCAACAGATAACGAAAATATATTCTTAGAAATAGTAGAATATTTCCTTGCGCTATTCCCTGTATTTACACTTTCAACTAGTTTTCCGATTATCGCTATTACCTTAAGAAATAATTTACAAAGTCTCTTCTTAGATACGGCGAGGTTAGAGTCTTATAATTTTATCCTGAGAAAATTGTTATTTCCAATTATAACTGTTGTCCCTCCAATACTGCTGACATACTACCTCGAAGATATAAGCATATTAATTGAATTTACTGGTTCGTACGCAGGTACGGCTATCCAATACTTCATACCGACTTTCCTAGTAATATCAGCTAGGCGTCACTGCACAAACTTGCTGGGGTTAGGCGTAGTTAATCATTACAAGAGCCCGTTTTCTCACGTAGCGTGGGCCGTGTTCGTACTGTTATGGTCTGCTATGTGTATCATATTGGTAACCGTACATATATTCGAAAAGAACTTATGACATTAACATGTAAAAGAAAAAACATGAAATTGGCAAAAAAATTAACAACACTGATAAAAAAAAATGTACCTAACTTTAAAAAAAATATTTAGGACAATACCTACCAATTTAAGTATAATAATGTGCTTATACTTTAACATCGTCAAATAATTTAATAGTATTTATTATACTATATGCGTAGTCTTAAAACCCTGAAGAAAGTGGAGGACAATACTTAATATTAATAAACGTCAAATATTTAAAATATTTGCTAAGTTATTCATTTTTTCTAAAGTGTCTGAGGTGCAAATTGTATTCGTATTTTTATACATCGGTATTTGAATGTTTAAATTTAGCCAGTTTAAAATATTTGTATTTTTAAGTACTTTTTATATTTATTAAAAATGTAAGGTTGTACTTACGTGCGTATTTCGACAGGTCCTTTTATGCACTTAAGCAGCAATCCCTTTACCCGCAGACAGAGGGCGCTATAATGTATTCCTGTATCTTTAATCAATAATGAGTAAATATAAAAAAAAAACTAAGAATGCCGAGATTTCATATAGGTAATAATAATCAATTGTTTATCTTGGTGTAATGTTACAATTGAAAATGTGAGTGAATTTTCTATGCTCTCAATTAATAGGTACTAAATAGAAGCTATTCTTTGTTCAAAAAGGAATTGGCATCATCTATGTGATTAATGTTCCTGCCATGACTCCACACAAAATAAATGTTTTATACCTTATGTTTCAAAAAATTATGTAATTTTAGGCGAAAATCTATCAGTATTTTAAAAAGCCAAAAGTCAAAATTTATAAATTGCAGGTAGTTGCGATACTACACAGTATCATACTGTTTAGTAAGTAAAAAAATCGAATAATCCAGCCGCACTGCCATTTCCTGCTAATTGCAAGCTTTTTTTTAAATTGATCTTTTATATGTTACCTTATGCTCCAAAGAATACTTTAGAGTGGAATAATGTTCTGTTTAATAGGGAGTAATTTTTTGTTTAAAAAATATTGTAAAAAGCAATTAACCCTGTGTAATTATGTAATATTTTTTATTATTTAAGCTTGTTTTATTTATTTTTTATTTTGTATCTGAGAGATAGTAACTAATTTGGTCAAGCAGGAATTGATGTGATCTTGTCTTTTTTAACATATACGAAGGCTTTTTTGTGTCAAGTATAATCATAATTTCTGCATGACTTTTTGTTGCAAAAATTGGTTATAAGTTATAGTCATATTATTTAAACCGAAAAAAATATTCTACAGATTTTACAATTGTGCAAGGTATTCTGAAGTCTGGCAACCCTGACATCATACAATCATTGCTCGTCTCTAAGCAAACTAGAGATTTTAAATACACACATTCAAAAAGTGCAAGTGAGTAAGTGAAGTCATTCATGATCAAATTTTTGTGCACAATATGGAGGCGAATATGCAATCATGTTAAGAGGTCTCTATATAGCATTAATGATTGTAATCAATAAAATCAACTTTAAATCGACGGATGGTTACAAATAACACCGTTTATAACACGTACACACCTGCGACATTAGGATGTCAATCACTCGAGCTATAGACCTTAACAAAATCTAAAACGGTATTTAGAGTAAAAAAGTACTTAGAGTACCCGGCTTCTAAACAGTCTAATAAATAAGGTAGGCAGTAGTCGATTGACACCTTGCGCATTGTCAGAGTATTTAGCAGAGCATTAACTAAGGGGGTATTTTGGATTCCTGTCGTAATAGGTATGATTTTCTTATGCAAATTATGCTAACAAAATGATTCTTTCTAACATATCTCAAGCCCTTACGTATCCTGGTTACATTGAGTTGAGGCTTGAAACATAGGGATACATTCTGAAGAGGCTTTGTTTTATACAATCCACATGGGGGTAGTACACATATTTCACGTATGTATGATGCTTAATCTAAACAGTTTTTTCTAGACAGTTCGTTAAAGTCGAATAAAAATAACCAATTTTATTAAGGAGCCAATTTAGCGCGTACAATAATAGGACATAACTCTTTTTATTGCGTATATCATACAAAGCTAAAAATTTCTTAAATGTCCAGCAATAATTTACGTAATGATAAGTGGTGTGAAAATGTCTTTGTGATAATAAAAATAGTTGCAGTTGTTGTGACATTAAATATTTATTTTGATATTTTACTTTTAATATTTCTATGCCATGTTTTGTAGTTCATTTTTTATTTACTGTTTTTAGATCCGAATCAGCTATACTTAATATTTTTAACATATTTGTTTTTCCTAAATATGTACTAAGGATGTGTTTCTATTTATGAGCCTTATTTAAAGTATATTAAAATAAGTTTATTTGTTTATAATTTTTATTTTTATATGATATTTATATTTTATTTCGTTATGTTTCAAAATAATGTAAGAGTTTAGCCAAATCAATGTTTGAAATGGTGTTGTTTTCTTGCTGTGATAGGAACACTTTATGTAAGATTGTTTTATTTTTTAAACGAAGTAGACATGCGCCCGACTCATTTTTAGCAGTACAAAATATTTTTTATAAAAAATAAATTATTAACAAACTTATAGATAATATATTCGTTTTATTGTAAGAAATCTACGCCTTTCAGTTCCAGTACTGTACTAGACGGGAAGTTCATGGTTTAGTTTTTTATATAGAGCCTGATATAGAGAACGAAAATAAATACGAAATAATGTGAATGTTTTCTTAATTTTAAATTTTTTACTCCACGTTACAAATAGATTCAGTGAAAATTAGGTGGTGCCGTAGTTTTTAACTTTTAAACCCGAAGAAGTGTTAAATTATTTTCGCTCCTCTCCTATTTTCAGTATTTTATGACAAAACAAAAAGAATCCTCGAACTGAGGGTCTATTGAGAGTTTATTTCACAACGACTCGATCGTCACAAAATTGAAATCTACACCAATTGCAATGCACAACGCGGTCGCCATTGAGAGGAGCCACCGTCACTGACCCTGGCATTGCTACCATCATGGATTTCAATTTTGATTACACAAAAAATTTCTTAGACTATACCTACCGTTAAAATAGAGATAATTATCTTCTAAATGGTCTTAGGACCCGACAAATTCTGATATTTGGCGACTGATTTCGACAAATTAGCGACTAAACATCTTCGCTATGTGCTCTAGTTTTTGACATACAAGCGTGGCCCTTCTGGGGACACTGACTCCAGGAGAGCCCCCTATCCCTATAAACGCTTGTAACTTTTGAACCAGTGACCGATAAATTGACCGTTGATGATGAAAAAAACTCACACTAGGCCCTCTGCCTAAACGTGCTACAACCTAGTGTAGTGAAACATGGGATAATAAAACAAAATAATCAGTTACATTTATTTTATTGGGTAATAATTGTAATCAATACGTACCAAATTGTTTTTTATGATCAGTTTCATCATTACGTTGACTGAAGGTAACTGAATAAGATCTCGAGAACTTTACTATAACTTTTAAAGCTGATAGTAATCAAACAAGAAGCGATTAGTATAAAAGAGGGAGATCAAAAATACTATTAGATACATATATATATATATATATATAATAAAAATGTTAAGTTGGTTTGTGTACGTTCCAAAAACTCGAAAAAGTTCTGCACCGATTGGGCTGAAATTTTGACACGATATACAACCCGCTTCAAAGATGTTTTATTTTTCGCGTAAGTTTTGTTCCTCATATCTCACAATGTACAAAAGCGAAGCTTGGCAGGGTACAGCTAGTTATAAATAAAAATTGTTGGATGTTGAAGAATTATTTTATTTTTATTTTTTATCATTATACATAGTTGTCACTTATCTCGCGCACACAAGCGACAAAAGCCTTCCATAGCTCAATTGACTTTGGCATAAGGTTTCATTGTATTTTTGCTGAGTTGTGCCGGCGCTTGCGCCAAGTTAACACTACAAGCACTATCGAGGGGAAAATTTCATTCTAAAATTAAAGTGAATAGAAAATTAAAACTAAATTTAGAAAATATCACTAATAAGCGCCAAATCACTGGACAGCACTTATTATTTGTTTAACCAATTTAACAATTTAATGTTTGTTAAATGTAATATGATTACTACTCCAGGGTAGGTCGCCTCAAGTAGTAATAGAACACTTTTGTGACGTACTTATATTTGGCGTGTAATTAGGGGTGCCCGATGCGATGCGATATATCGCCATTTGGACATATAATAAACCTTGATATATCGTATCGTAACCGTATCGCGTGCATTTTAATCCAAATTAGATATAACAAGTAGTTTACAGCAATGCTATGTGATAGGTTTTTAAAAGTTTTCAATATTTTTTCATGTTTCAAAAAGGAGTAGTCACTGTAATCTGACAGATATGTTAACTTTTTCAAAAAACAAATTGTTGAGCGTTAATAACCTATTTAACCTATACCAAGTTTTTGCTGTTGTAACATGTAAATTTTGTAGCTCGAAATCAAACGGCTCGAAACAGACAGCTGCTTTTTTATTCTTTTAATAACAATTTTGTCATTAGTACCTGTTGTTACTAATAAAATTATGTTAAATAGTACTGCATGAATCTTAAAATTATAAACAAATATACGTTAATGAGATATTTTCATGGCAGTACGGTATTAAAAAAAAACATAAAATATCGAATTAAATATCGATATATCGTAAAGTGCGATATCACTGAATGTTTAGATATATAGCATAACTAATCCGATACAAAATGTCGCATCAACGTCTCGTGACCAAGGGCAACAATGAACTTTTTGGTAGCATCAAATTTGATAAACAAAAGCTTGATATTGTACATTCTTATATCATTTTATTTGAGACCGAGCAACAAAAGTTACACTTTACAATGGTAGAAACTTGTAACATTTTAAATGAACAGCGCTTATTAAAATTATGTGCAATTTTAGTGCTAAATTGTGGCAAATAAACTTATTTCTTGAATAAACTTTTATGGAAGAAATATATCGTAAAAACGTTGAAGACCTATCCTTCTTCATTGATCTACCATAGTCACATCTAGTTGATTTAAACATATGCGATATGGTTACGTTACTATAGGATATAAAGAGATAGAATCGACTTTTTGGGCATCCCTACGTGTGATGAAGTAAATTATCAACCAACTTCTACTCGCACTAACCTAAGAGTGTAAATTATTAATAAATTTCAAACATTGGTAACGAGAATGAAAACAACCTATCAATAGGGACACCACAGTGAACTAGAACGTTGCACGTGTGCGAGTGTGTTCGACAACTAATAACGCTAGTGGTATGTACTACTCACGCGGCGACACCACACATCATCGTTACCTATTCATATTTTCCACAATGTAAAACAAGAAATAATAAAATAAAAACAAAACTATAATTACATAAAAATGAGTGAACGCATATTTCTACACACAACATTACATACATAAAATAAACATTGATGAGATACTCGTAACACTCGCACATCATTCCCTAAAAGTGATAAACGGTTTCCGTCGTAAATATTAAACAATATTGGAATCAGAAACGAACCGTTCTAGACGTTACATCTAAAAGACCTGTCTTTATCGTACATCATTAACAATATTAGGTAGCAAATATTCGAATGACAGCAAAAAGCTTCGCCTCGTAAAAAGTATGCAATTTTAATAAGTACTCATAATCTAAACATTATACTGTCGAACGTCGAATTAAAAGTAGACATTACCGTAACAAATAAATAATATTAATCTACGCATTAATAAATCTAATAATCATATCGTTCGCGTAAGATCGAACGTCTCGTTTAGAATTTGATTATTATTATTAATTTTAGAGAGGATCGGTCGCTCCCACCGGCCGGAGGACGTCGCGCCACTAATACTCGGAAAGTACCTCACGTAAATACTATCGGCTAGGAATATCGGAGAACGACGCGGGCTCGGACGGCGGCTATAAGGCGGACGGCGGCACGTCGATGTCGTGGCGCCGCAGCGCCGCGCGGAACGCGTCCAGCGACGAGCGCAGCGTGAGGCAGAAGCCGCGCGACGCGGGCACGAGCGGGAACTCGGGGCCCGCGCCCGCCCCCGCCCCCGCCCCCGCGCCCGGCGCCACCAGCGCCTCCAGGCGCGCGCACAGCGCCGCCGCCGAGCCCCGCAGGTGCGCCATGATCTCCGCGCGGAACGGCTCCGGCGGGTTCAGCAGCATCTTGCTCATCGACTGCACCAGCTTCAGCAGCACCATCTCGTTGTACATGCGCGAGTTTTCCTTGCCCTGCTGAGTACCTGCCGATGCACAAACGAAACCTCATTAACCTGTAACGCTGTGAACTATACTGATAATTCGGACATGGGACCTAATAAAACGAGTTACTTCTTCTTGCCGTTTTTCCAAATTTATGTAGGCAGTGCAATGAAGTTTATTTCTCCATGCTCCTCTATCGTGCCTCGATTCAATGCTTCCTCCTATTCCATCCCTATCATCTTTATCGCAGGCCATCCATCTTTTCTTTGGTCGTCCCTCAAGTTCCATACATAAAATATATGGACCCTGTATGGATTCAATGCCGTACAAACAGTGAGTAAAGTTTTCTGCAGACTGGAAATGCTGTTCCATTCAGCGAAATAATTACAAGACCGAAAATACCGCTGAAATCGCAGAACATGTATTCTGCTGATTTTATAGTCTTTGTTACAATTTCTCCAATCAGTGCTAGACTTCGGACCCATTTTCAGCTACCTAAACAATGTCTCGCCTGCAAACAGCATGCACCATGGTGCCTCGTCCTATGTGTCCGATGTCAGAACATCAATTATTAATAGGAAGAGGTATAGACTAAGATCACTGGTGCAAGCTACAGCGACATTGAATTGTTAATCATGATTCAATTGCGTTCCCTCCAATCGACCTTACACGGGTACTAGACACGAATCCATTTCAATCTTCTTTCTTTAGCCGCTTTTTCGACGCCAACAATAAATAAATAAATGCAAGTTTTCGTGTGCACGTCTGTATTTCTGACAAAACTGGCAAATTGCGATTATGCCTGTTATGTTAACCTGCGGCCGAATATAAACCCAAAATAAAATAGTCATCTCTTGGCTCATCTATGAAAGTAACCATGCATTATTTTGTTGACAATTAAATTTATAAGTATAAAATTTAAAAATAAAAAGTATGTATGTATATACACAATTTTATACAAGTTTAAAGAAATTTGAAGGTAGGACTTATTTAGATTAAAAGTAACTCGATTAACTTGAATTTCCAGAGCTCATAAATAGTTTTATTTTTAACCACTCAGAACAAAAATCATTAAATTAAAATGATGAAGTTTATTTAGTGTTTGAATTTATATTTAAAAAAATAAATTATTCCAAATCACTTACCTGTACCGTAGAATGAGGAATAATTTATTAAGAGAATAGATTATTATTAAATAAATTGTGAATACTATAAATACTTATTAGTAATTTACCTTTTTGTTTTTCATAGCCTGCTTCATTAAAGTAAGGTTCAGCGTTGAGGATAAGCCCCTGTAGGGACACGATCACTTGAAGTAGTGAACTGTCCTTGCCCCACACCTCCACGCCGCGCCCCGACCACGTCCCCAGCAGTGACACGCAAACCTAAAATAAACATCTTTAACGTCAAACTAAACTGCAATAAAAAGTTATTTTGGTTCCTTAAATACTCGCAACACTTCAGTGTTGCGATTATTTAAGATTAGAATATTAAACAGACAAAACATGTCCCTATTTTATATAGTTTTCCTATTTTCCTGGTCGATTTTTATCAATTTTTGTAGGTGTGATTTAGCTTTTCACCACAATTTTTCTAGCGTTAATGTGGCTATTGTTAAGCTAGACTATAGTCTTAAAGTATAGTTTAATCCCTGGTAAAAATCCTTTTTTTTCGAAAGGAAGAAGAAACCACTTACAACATGTATGTAATTTTCTTTTGAATAGGTAAGACGTGAAAGCGTGTGAGAAGGCAATATTTCAGCACTATTGGAGTCGGCTCGACCGGAGTACTAAGGCCTCACTAAAAACCGGTGTTCAGGAATAGTATAGTTTTTTTGCTTCAACGCAATGTACACACTCACCTTGCCGTCCTCGTACAAGTTAGGGTTGAGCCTGTCAGTGCAATACGAGTGGTAGTGGCAAAGCGGGGGAGCTCGTGGGTACTCGCCGCCCAACTGCACATCGAACACAAACAGACCGCCTTCGTAAGGAGTCTTGGTGGGCCCTGCGATCATTACGGAAAGTAGGTCGATGCGGTCCTCGTAGCCACGAACCCACACCTGTAAAAAAATAATTCATATATTAATATTTCATTACTAACATTCTGTAATATCCTACGTAAATGTCGATGTCACAATTCGATCTTATCAAGCCATTTTCTATTAATCGTCGAATTTAATTGTACTACAACCAATCGCTGAATTGATTCACATCTATACTAATATTATAAAGCTGAAGAGTTTGTTTGTTTGTTTGTTTGAACGCGCTAATCTCAGGAACTACTGGTCCGATTTGAAAAATTTTTTCAGTGTTAGATAGCCCATTTATCGAGGAAGGCTATAGGCTATATATCATCACGCTAAGACCAATAGGAGCGGAGCACCAATGAAGAATGTTTCAAAAACGGAGAAAATTTATTACTATTGAGAGACGCAGACAAAGTTGCGCGGGTCAGCTAGTACTTGATAAAGGTCTTATGAATACAGTAGACTACTTATATATCTATTGTATCTCAAGAAAGATTAAATGCTATTTATCATCAAGATGTCATATCTTGATCGTAAATAACAACTGAGTTGTGATCAACTAGTTAACATTGTAAAAGGTTTGTATACTCACACCGGGGGGCAAATCGCTCTTGAGTAATTTGATCTCCCTTTTAACCGCGGAGTAGAAGGTCCTAGGCTCCGAAGGCTGCTGCATGGATAAACGGAACCGATGTGAAGCGGGCGCATTCTCCAGGATACAGAAGCCTTCACCCCCGCAAGCGTCGCTGGGCGAAGCTGGAGGAGTTTCTATTGTCTCTGGTTCGTCGGTACCTTCAGCCGTTGCAAGAGGTGCTGTTTCAGCGGCAGCTGTTAAATGATGCATGAAATTAAATTTTACCATTTTATTACAAACAGCAGATTTTGTTCAAGTAGGGGTGTACCACAGAAGACTGTATTTAGGCAGTCAGGGTATAATTGTTCAAGCTTAGAACAGTATTAAACAAAATTTTCACTCGGTCTTGAAGCTCTGGCGACCCAACAAAAAGCCAATAACTCATATAAGGTGATGACGGAGACTTAATAGGTAGTCTACGAGTCACTTAAACCAATTCAATTCTTTTAGTTGCTTTTAAGGTAAGGCAGTTTAACGATTTTTATTTTTTTTGTTGACGTATTTAACCGATTTTAAAATTAAAAAATTAATTTAAAACATGAAAGTTCCAGGTGAGATTTACCGGCTCCATCGCTTTTGGTTGTGGCTGTAGTTGCGTCCTTGACTTCACTGCCTTCAACTGGTTTTTCTTCAGCCTTGTCATCTTGGTCAGCCATACTGACAACGAGTGCACCATACTGACTGTAATTGTTATTAATTGATTAGACGGCCTGGAGTGTATCTCTCTTGGTACAAGTACCGTCTTCTATTTAAACTCTCGTTTAAATAACATGGGTGCCATATTAGTAATAATTCCTATTTTAATATACCATACTTCCTCTGGACACAAGCAATTAACTGTTTTCACACGTAATAAATGTAGATTATATACAAATAACAAAAATAGGTATTTTATTGATTAATTGTTTGGTGTATACAAAGCATATGCACGGGATAATATGTAAAAAATATGATATAATAGATATCTATAAAAATCTAATCTAATCTAATATAAACCTGATTAAATGCTTGGTAAAACTTTTATTCAATAATATTTAGTCTTCGTTCCTTTAGTTCACACAGTGGTTTTCAGTGATAGTACCAATTGACGGTAATTGTACCAACACACACAATCATACATTTATAAAAAAAATATCAATATTACATATAAGATAATACAGGAATAGGGTGATACTGAACAACTTAAATGGATAGGCATCACCAACCAGCAGTCGTACATGCATACCATTAGGAGCTATAGCTATCAATACAATACAAGACTTACATTAAACAAATATATTATACTATACAATTATTTTACAAAGGTTTTAAGGTCACGAAAATCAGAGAAATTAAGTTACCACTTTTAGAGTCATCTACAAAATGCATATAATGAAAAAAAATAAAAACACCCTGCGGACAAACAAATAATGGACAAACTACAATATTAAATGGTAATGATTTTGAATGTTAGGAACTTTTCCTTTTAAAACATATATTATTAATTGATGTCTCCTTTGTTTATAATCAAAATGTGCGTCATTAAGTTGACATGCATAACTTTTTATACTACCTTAAATCTGTAAATACTGTGTTAATAAAATGAGAGGATTTTTTAATATAATTTCGAAAATAATTAAGTTAAACAAAATGATAAATTTAACAAAAAATGTACCTTCAGTAATCACAGAATTTGTTTAATATAAGTATAGATTAAGACAATATTACACAGGATATACAATGGGTTTAGAAATTGAGAAAAACGACTAACCCAACATTGTCTACATTAGATTATGATTTAGAAGGGATTTCTACAATATAACTGACGCTCCAAACTGACATTAAGCCACTAGTTTAGCTTGAATGTATTCAGTGATATTTAATTTTTTTTGAAACTGATTTAGTTTAGAAATAAAAATCAAATCGGTGTAATACTACCTAAAGTTTACGTAAAAATGTATAATATGGCAGTAGAAAAAAAGAAGACTTGTACCGTTTGGGCACCCTTGCAAAACATGAATAATTGTTATAAATTAATTAATTACAGATATGGCCTAGTTTCTCATTTCACTCATTATGACAATGCTAATGCCTGCGGACTCGTAATACATCTTTATAAATAGCTCTCTCCCCCAGTTTAATGGCTAGGCAGATATAGTGTCGTCTTAGCGCCTATCTAATCTACCCACTTCTGCTGCTAATTCAATTTCTATTTAATGAAATACTTATTTTACTATAGTATTTTCAGTAAAACCAACAACCACTGCAAATAAGTGACACGCATAAGAGTATTTTAAAGACAACCATGTGTTAGGAACTTCTTTGACTTGTTTTTGTTATTCTTTGGAAAGACCCAACCAGCATTAACTAGTGGAATAGGCAGGGAGTAAATTTGGTTGTAATCAAAAGTTCAACCTGCTATCTATATACCTTTTTTTTTATGTTGACGGGTTGGAAAATCCCTTCAGATCTCCTGCTCCTCAGGGACTCCAGGAGTATGTGGTGATTCCACAAAAAACCACCCCGACGGCCAGCCTCAGGTGTCCTACTCTGGGAGGACATGGAGGTCCTCCCCGAATTGACACCATGCCTAATCAGGCCCTATCCCAAGGGGGAAAACACTTCCCCCCTCAATAGCCTTAATCATGCTGCCATTCTATCCCCTGCTATCTATATACCTACTGTAATTTTTTAATACATAGGATATATACTTTCATGGCATATTTACTCAGATTATTTTATACTGCATGCATTACATATTTGGATGTTAATATTCAGTACGAATAAGGATGTAATGTTATAAATATTAGTTATACACACAAAAACATTATTACTTATATCATTCCGAGCGACACAGTACGACATGTAATGAGGTGCATCAAAAATAAATAAAAAAAAACAATTATAAATAAAAACAACAATAAGAAGCAAGGAATCTGTACATGTTATAAAGAGCTTTGTAAGAGTGTACACATGTTGTAACCACTTTTTGTACACGAAAAGGACATATTAAGATATGCTCTTGTGCAGTTAAAAATGTCTTGTAAAAGTTGTGTAAATTAAGATAAAAATACCCTATAAAGGATGATTGCTTTACATTTTGAAGTAGGTATAAGCGAGCAACATGTACAAAAGCCTGAAGTTAAACATAAATGAAACAATAATGTAGGCTCACACTGAAAAGTGGTAGAGTAACTTCTCCTCTGTCGCGTTTCTTTTCATCATTAAGGTGTTTAAGAAATCGGCCAACTCTTGAGGCCTTCTCCTGCGAAATAAATTGTCATTTTACTATCACGCTGTTCTAAATGTAGCCTTATACCTGGTTCAAAACATCTCATCTTATTCTTCGTTCATTGAAATATAGTATTTTGAGTCATGTTGTGTTTTGCCTTACCAAGAACGTGTGAAATAAGAGAGGCTTCAAGTAGAAACTACGTATCTACGTACGTACGTATACGTAACTCTTAGTGATACGTAACTTTAGTAATGAATATTGCAAAACATAAAGTGAAAAAAAAACAAAACTAATAAAAAAAAGATAACATTAGTTTTTAGTGACCTAACAACGTGGAATGCGTGACCGAGGACCTCATTTAGCTATTCATAATGAATTTCCATCTAGTAAGATCCATCTAAGTAAGATATTGGGATACCTTTACACGTCCTTGTACGTTATTACTACTGAGAGTTAATAACGTATACGAAGGAAGACTTACCGGCTAACTTCCGCGTGTGCCTTGACAAGTTGAGCGTGTATTAGATTGCATAGTTTGTAGCACACGTTACGACTGTTGCCTTCTCCGTCGCTCGTTTCACCGGACGCTACGCACACATAATATAATACAATGTATATTTACATAGGCAATGCAGCTGTAATCAAGCAGTCTCAAATAAGAAAATAACCATTAGTACTATGTTCAGGTAACCAGAAATAGTGAGTTTCAAAGAAGTTTATTCAATACGTTTTTCTCTTTTTTGAACAAACCTTTTGATTATATTTAAAAAAAAGAGATTTTTCTACATTAATAAATTCTATGGAGTATAGATTATATTTTTATTTGCCTATGAGATTGAGTTTTTATAAAATGAAAACAATTTTAATGTCAATTGAAAGAGAGTTTTAGACATCCTTATCTTTAACATCTTAAGTAAATTATATAGGTACTATTAGTTGTGGTGGTTAATTATGTTTACGAACACCGACCAAAGAAAGTGCAACCTAGTCGAAATATCATACAATTTAAAAGTATGGTGATGGACAGTTTAATTAATAGAAAAGTAAAATGAAGGTGATCCTTGGTGGGGAATATTATATCTCAAACAAAAAATATATATTTAAAAGGTTTAAAAAGAAGAGATAATTCGGTTAATAATTGTTGTCGACCTTATACTGTTGTCACTTTTTGAAGGCTTGTCATTCCGAATCAACGAACCATACCACGTAACACTATTAATATCTGGCACCCTTTAGGGATTTCTTTTACTACAAACCAAAAGATACTTACGATTTTCATTGATTGCTAACTCAAATTTACTAGTATTGTCTTGTATAACACTTGTTTCAGATCCAGAGGCTTGTACCGGTTCTATGTTTAAATGTAATTGTTTCTTACTACTCGTCGATTCCACCTAACAATATAAAAAAGCGGATATTAGTATTCATTAATAAGAAGATGTATTAGAGGTTCTATGATAATGTACTCTTTATTTATGTTCACAATCACTGTGAAGATGATTTCGTTTCTGATGTAAAAAAATAACCAAGTGCAAAGAGGCGTAAATTTTAGCAAATTATATTTATGACGAATAATTTAAACACACGTAAAAAAGTGTATTTTACAGCAGATACTATCATTCGGGTGAGAAATGTTAAGTACTACTACCTACTACCTACGATGAGAACAGAAACTGAAAAGATTCGATACGAGCCTGTCGGTCTAGTGGTTAGGGACCCTGAGCTAAGCTAAGCCGGAAAATAGTTGTGTGATGAGCACGGTCAGTTATTCTGTGTCTGGGTGTAATTTATCTATGATATGTATGTATTTATAAAAGTATGTTTATCAGCAGTCTGGTCACCAAAGCACAGGCACTGCCTAGTTTGTGATTAGACGGCCGTGTGTGAGACGTGTGCTGTTAAGACTAATCGCGCGATCATATCACCTCCATGGGTACGACGCTGGCGTGTGCGGCGACGAGCGGTTTGGGCGTGTCGTGGTCGTCGTCCACGAGCATGCAGTCGGCGGGCGCGGTGGAGGCGGGGTCGCTGGGCGCGAACAGGCGCGCCAGCTGCTCGTGCACGCGGCGCTCGCCCGCGCGCGGCGTGCTCGCCCCGCGCTCGCGCACGCGCTCCAGCAGGCCCTGCACCACACCTAGCGGTTACACTATATCCCACATTTTTAGCCACTAGTTTCCACTTATCAATTCTAATCTGTACCAATAAAATTCAAGAAACGCGGCGATCGAAATTAACAACCTGCCATGCGTAAATTAAAATCCAGTAATCACTTACCAGAAAATGATCTTCATGGAAAAAGGTAGTGCCCATTAGCCGATCTAAAAATCGACAGTCTTTGTACAAATTTAGTAGTTTCCTCATAACCTGGAATATAAAACAAAATGTAAAGTTAAGTTACTAAACTAAACAAACACCACTATCTTAGATTTTTTTCATTACTACGCTTTTTTAACTTTACTTCTAACTCAACTAGCTAATAATGTAGTAGTCGTATCAAAATGAAACTTGAAGCTAATTTGATGCTGGAGCACCGTAACTCTTTAATGGCTACTAATGAAACTTCAACTTCAGTTCCATATAATCTGTTTTTAAAGTGCAATAGATTGAACCTGGTAATATAGAGAAAATCTGTACTACTGCTGAATCTTACATAATAATCCTATTGGAAACTGTTTAAAATAACATATCAAATATACAGAAACTAAAGAAACGATAATGACAAAATTAGTAAGTAGTATCTGAACATACGCTAACTTCTCCATTCAAATGTACATTTATCGGTGAATATATCCATTTGTTTCATTTGAATAAAGTCGTTAATGAAGAAATGTGTTTATGTAAGAGTAGTAGTTACATCCTGATTTTGCAGTGAGGGTTGTTTAGCGAACATCTCCTCGAGGCGGCGCATGGCCACGCGGCCGCGCTCGATGTGCGCGGCCACCCGCGGCTCCAGCAGCTTGGGCACGGCCGCGCCCGCCGCGCTCGTCAGCACGCACTCGCCCGCGTTGATCTCGCTACTGGTCAGCATCACCGCCGCCGATATCACTGTGCACGACAGATTTTATTTCGGGGAGTGTATCTGACTGGGAACTTTTAATTTATACGAGACTGTGCTTCATTAAAAATAATATCACAGGGTAATGTTGATTAGTGAGTAGAATTGCTAGTGACTCTTCATATTTAAGGTTCTAGTTAGGTAGTAGTTTTGTTAACCATTAAATTAAATTTCGAAGCTTCTGTTTAATTCTCATTTTGTGCATAATTAAGCTATTTACTGCAGTAAAATAATTTGTAGCTGTCAAAATTGTTGTTATGTCTAGGCATTAATCTTCAAGAATCACACACATCCTGGGAGGGAACTGAGTATAACGATTAAAGGTTTTTTGCATCATACATTTTGTTAGGTTATTGCCAAACCTTATTAAATGTTACTTGATAGTCACTTTTCATGCTTAGTACCGTACCTGGATTATCAGCGTTGTTGGCAGCGACAAGTTCGGGAGGCGTAGGCGTTTGAGGCTGATCAGGTGTCTTCGGCTCAGGGTCGTGCGCTGAACTCTGAGTCTCCCACGAGTCTTCCGATCCTGACCCATCTGAGCCCCAGAGTTCACCTTCTTCACTGTCGTATTCACCAACCTATTGCCAAAAAGCAAAATTAAGAGAACAATTCTCTAGAGTATCGCTACTAATATCCTATTGAACTAGGTTGGAGAAAAGGGACTGAACTATTTTATCTTTCTATATCGATACTTTTACTTTTATAACTTCTTTCACTAGCTTTATAAACTAGTTAAAGCGCTAGTTTAAATCGGTGTATCTTCTAGTTAACAGTATATATTTATAGATTTACTGGTAACAATGACCTGGGGGCCTAGTGTGAGTTTCACATCAACTCGATCGTCACGGTGACCGCGTTCGGCGATGCGATGATGGATTTGAAGTGAAATAAATTCACACAGGTTTTCTGTCACATCAAGATCTTTCCAGAGGGAGCAGAAACATTGGTAAGTAAATGTTATATATCAAACCAGGTGTACTATACCTTGTAGAGATCCTGTGGCCAACACATACTCGTGTGTCCGTCAACCCACCACACCTTGACCCGGCCCGACGGGAAATTGTCTATCACCTACAACCACATAACATAAACCAGATTAACGATGACGAACGTTGACAACTACACTGTGTGTCTGTGTTTATGTATGTAGATAAAGCAAGTGTGAAGATTTATCTCACCCATAGTGTTACCTGCTGAATTTAACAAAACAAATCAAATTTATTACAATTAGCCAACTTGTTTAAAATGGTGGTAGCAAAATGTCACAACAATTTGGACTTGGATCTCGATAGGTGACTAGGAACTTGATCAAAGTAGCAATTACGTTCCCTCCGCCTGTTACTCTGAAGATATATAAGATTGTGTTAGATACGGTCTAAAACAATCCTACATAAAGGTCAATTTTAAAAGTTCTTGTCACAATATTCTTATTATTTGTTAGTATTTGTTATTCTATATCTAGATATAGGCGCTTATATTGTTTGATGTGACTCTCAGATCTTGTTCATAATGCGACTGTAAAGGATAACAGAGGGAGTTACCTGTCCTGCAGTGCACTTGGCGTCTTCACCCGTGAAGTTGGCAACCCTGATGACGACAGTGCCTGGTCGATACTGAAAGTCCGGGTGGTCTTTTAGGTCGTACACGCTCACCTCACTCTCATGCAACATTTGTGGGCTACACAAAGAAAAAAACTAAAGTTATCGAGCTCATTTTTTTAATGTACTAGAGTAAATTGTACATATTTGTGCATGAAGTCATAAATAAAATAAAATAAATAAATAAATTGTAGTCAGTTGTCATTTTCGAAAACCATTTCAAAATGACAAATAATTATTAACTAAATAGTTTAATAGAATATAGCAACCAATTTAATTAAAATAATGACCAAGACAAATCAAGTCATGCGAGACTAAAAAATAAACAGCCTTTACGATTTCCTTTATGAGAAACTATAGTTAAACCGTCGTAAGCTTGGCCCTCCTGATGGTTTGCGGGACGCGGGGCGGGTGATGCGCTCGGCTATACATGACACGATGTACTAACTCGATATCTTCAGATTTATTTGTTTGAGATATAATCTACACACGATGTAATAAAAATCGAATTTATTTCCATGTATTATAATGTCAGTGTATTGTAAGTTTTTATGATTAATTGTAAAATTTAATACTGAAAAATAATTTTAATCAAATCACCTTATCTTCATCATGTAAATTATATTCAGATACAATTTAAAAATTAAGTAAAATAATAAATATTCTTTATTAGCACTAACAGTAGAACCTCTGTAAGCCGAATTTCAAGTTTTTAAATCTTTTTGTGACGCAGAGTCGGCAGATTATCCATGTTGCAAAATAATACCGTGTGTAGCAGTCTTAAGAAAAATAACACGTACAGCCATGCTTTCACATCAGTCACTGCCGGCGGACAGCGACGCACTAGCTAATTGGTTGAATGCACCCCCGCCCCGCGTCCCCCAAACCATCAGGAGGGCCAAGCTTACGGCGGTTTAACTATAGTATCCTATGAGATCCATGTAGTGACAGATTAGAAATAGGAACTGTCACCACCCCTATTCATCCCGGGGGTGCCTGAGCCGACTAAGGGAGCAAATTACGCAGGACACCAGCACTGCAAAGAGCCAAGGAAAACTTGAAACAAACCGTATATCAACCCTTCTGATCAGCATGGTTTAGTAGGTCAAAACCTCTTTTCTAAGGGGGGCCTATGTTCAGCCAGTGGACTACTAAAGGCTGTTCATAATTATGATGATTCTATAAGATTGGTGATGATTGAAAACCTTCAACTTTACTTACACAGGTTTTTCAGCGCTCGTATAGGTGCGGTACCAATGAACGATGGCCGTCCGACCGTGGTGATCTACCCTTTGTACTACTCCGTATTCTCTATGTTTCAACTGTAAACCAAAGAATACAATGTGTAACTATTATATATATCAATTGTCAATATTCAAAGAATCTTTGACTGGAAAGTTAACTGTCAAAATGTATCATTAGCTGCAACCCGCGGTTTGTCAGATACAGCGTTACAATCATATTATATTTAAGCAGTATTACTGGAGTACTGTTGTAGTTTCTAATATTATAACGAGAGACTTCATGGGTAAAAGTCATGTTTGTACCGACCTGATGATTTTCTTCTATATTGGCGGCGCCACTAACTACAAAATCCCCAGGGAAGCACTCCTGTCCATCCAGATGATGGATTGGGTACAACTGTATCGATGGAATGCCCATTTCTATTGTACCGTCCTGCAAAAAATAAATCAAAATATTTTTAACATCCTCACGATCATCTTTGGACAGTTATATATTTTAATATAATATTATGTAGAAAGTTAGCATTTCTTTGGAATTTTACTGAAAGCACACACAATTGCGATTTCAAGTAAAAATATATATTTAATCGTTCTTGTATCTCTGAAGAGGTAGGCACGTGTACCCATGTGGCTTATCTCTTTCTATAAACACTTTTACTACAAACTAGACAGAGCCCATACTGTGATAACTATACTGTTGATAAACATACTTATATATTAGTATTTTTAAACATATTAGTATATTATTTAAATTTACATATAATCATGACACAATTATTTGTCCTATCGTGGTGGGAATCGATCTCACGACCTCTGGTCAGTCAGGATCACTAACCCCTGATCTAAACCAGCCATTTATTTCATTTGGTTGTTTCAAACCTAATGAAAAAAAAAACATTATTTTATTATTAAAACATTTTGAAAGGGGACGGTTGGCAGACATGTGGCAAAGGAAGCTGAACGAGCACTAAAAGCAAAATCAATTAATCGAACTAGGCTTCTAGTATTACGAGTATATCCATTCGCGTTAAAAAAATAGTTAGGCCTCAATCAACTAAGGCTAATTAGTCGATTGATGCGTACGCTTAGAACCTGATCAGTCTAGTTGCTTAGTTAAGGCGAATGGAGTATAGTAAGGTCTCGCACCTGCCACACGACGTTGGCGCGGCTGGTGGTGTGCAGCGTCTCGACGACGACGCGGTCGCCGCGGCGCGGGGGCGGCGCGGGCGGCGCGCGGCGCACGGTGCGCTTGAGGCGCTTGCCGCGCAGCAGCCGCACCGCCAGCTGCGGCGAGCGCTTGCCGCGCCCCGACGCCGCCGACGAGCAGCGGGAGGACCATGTCGCGCCGCTGCAACACCACATACACACCATATACAGTTATGGGTTTAACTCACTGACATCCGTATTTTAACGGAACTTAAAAATAAAAGAAGACGATTACTTCATCCCCACGAGAGACGATGAATTAATTGGTCTCCTAGTAGGCTAGTACAGATACCAGTCTCTCACATGGATGATCTATAACTAAACTAATAACTGTTGTCAGTTTAAGCTATGTTTACTACCAATGTATCGATCGGTCTGTGTAATCGAACAAAAATAAAGTTATTATGATTTCTATTATCGTTGACACCTATTCGTTTATTTTATCTGGTCCAAACCTAAAATAACTTAAAATACTGTAAAAACCTTTAACATGTAGACTAATGTATTAACATTTTAATTTTATTTTATAAAAGTCAAAGTAACAATAAAACGAAAAGTGTGACGGCGCCTTAACATTTTATACAAAAATATACAAATCAAATTGTTTACTAATACCGATTGGGCAAGAGCCGTTGTATGTTATTACCTGTCAGTATCACTGCCATCGCTGCTGGTGTTCTCCCAGTTGTCAGAGTCGTCGTCGTTGAGCGCGATGTCAGACTTGCTGTCACCGTTCAGTAGACAGCCGTCCTCACGTGTTGGTTCCGGACTGTGGACGTGGCATCTAGTTAGTGCACTAAGCAAAATTTTCTAATATTACATATTTCTAATATTATTATTCTATATTATATTACATATAATAACATATAATATGATTCCTATTTTAATGTGTTTATGCCCGAAAATTTTATGATCATTTATTGTTTGTTAAAAATGAACACCGTTTTTTTTTTATAAAATTTGCTTGTGATAATGAATTCATCATTACTCGAGATAATAATTTTTTAAATGAAAGTTACTGAATGGATAGTCAGGGTACAGAAAGGACTGTACGGCATGACAATGTGCATGGAAAAATCATGATGATCGGTTGAGTAGTTTAATAATGGTAGAGTTACCAATAGATTATCATTCGCATTTACAATAATGCGAGGTTAGTTGCGTAAAAAAACTATAGTCCATTCGCGTTAAGAAAACAGTGACGTATTGATCAAGCCAATTGACCAATCAGGTTTCAAGCTTTTGTAGGAAACAATTTCTTGCAACTTGATTGGTCCGGGGCTTGATCGATGTTTGACGAATAGTAAATCGCATCATATCAACAGCCTATATTAGTCCACTGCTGAACATAGGCCTCTCCTTAGAAAGGAGTTTTTGGCTTACTATACCACGCTGGCCAGACAGGTTGTCATAGGGTTTGTTTCAAGTTTTAATTCTTTTTGCAGTGCTGGTGTCCTATGTAATTTGATCCCTTAGTCGGCTCAGGCACCCACGGGATGAATACGGGTGGGGACAATCCCTATTCCTAATCTGTCACTACATGGATCTTATAGGATACTACTTTCTTCGCAATCGTGAAGGCTGTTTATTTTTTACAGGATATGTGCAGTTTTTTCCCTTAGTCGGCTCTTACTACACCCACTACTAATAGTATGTAACTTGCCTTTATTAAGTTTGTCCTCACATGAATGAAGAGTTTGTCTGTCAATTTCTTTTTTTGTTAAAAGGTTTTCTATGTCCTTTTTTTGTATCCCTGAAAATATGTGAACAATTCCATAATGATCGATTAAGTGTTTGTGTGATAACCACATCTCACCTGATTCCAGAGTCATTTTTCTCTTCAGTGACGGTGTCGTCCTGGCTGCTAGCATTAAACGTAGTGGCGTCTCCTATTGGTTCGATTTTAATACTGGGGCACTTCACGGTGTCTCGCTTCAGAGCCTCGTCTACTAAACGTTCTAAATTCTCATCAGTTCTCTCGTCTATTTCCATCTCGTTCTGCAGAAAAAACAATTGTCAGTTTAAAATTTACATTTCTGAAATTCCTTAAAAAAACTTTCATTACAGCATAAGGAGACAAGACAAACTCTTAACATTAAAAGTGTAAGCTCTTGTATTTTTAATATTTACATTAACGAAACAATTTTTTTTGTTGCATGGAGCTTTACAGCTGTTTTTTTTTATCTATCTTTGATTTTTTGGCATGGCCTCCTTTCTTTGAAGATTAAGTATAACTACTTTGTTTTAGAGATCTCGCTTAGTATTCATAAAACTAAATGCTCTTTAATCAATCGAGCATATTTTACGGTTTTATCATAAGTATTAGTAATGATTCAAATATTTCTATTAAAAATTGTGATGAAATTGTCCTTATCATTAAAAACTGAAGGTGATACACAAGTTTTCATTTAATATCTGAAATTTAAATCAACAAACCAGAAATGTCTAGTCTTATTTTGTGCAACAAAAATGTTGTTACCTCATGTAATACAGATTTAGATCAAGTAAGCCAGACAGGGCTAGTAATTTTGTATGTGTAAATTAATATTTGAAATTATGAAATTCATATACACTTACGTCCACAGGTTTGAGTTTCCGGTGTGAGGAAGCGCGTTTTTTAGGTCTTGACGGTACGTGGTCTGTAGAGTTAGTATCGGTCTTGGAAGGTTTCTTTACTGGCCTGCTCTGTTTGCGGAGATTCCTGTAGTATTTACCTAAAACCGCATTGAATATAATGATTTAGTTTCTATTTTATTCTCAAAGTTGTATCATATTTCTCCGTTGTAATTTTGTAAGTAAAAAACTACTTAAGAATTGGCACTAACTTTGTTGTTTTCTCCATTGCTTCTTACTGATGAAGGAGTCTTCGGGACCAATAGTGAGGAAGTTTCTATCACCGACCTGCAGTGTGCACGGTTCAAACACATTCAGCAACTTGAGGTTCTTTAGATCTTCACCTAAAGCACACAACATTTTTGTAGTTATGTTTACAGCCTTCTATGACTCTCTGAAATTACACCACACACATAAATCACATTATACATACATCAACTGTTATAGATGAAAAGACCAGTACCAATGTTTTTGGTTTATTTATTTACATTGATTGGGACTAAAATATTAATACGCGGAAGGATTTCTTTAATGCTTATTTTTCCTGAATATTGCATATATTAAATAAACAAAGAACTACTAAAATTATTGGTGCATTACAGGTTAATATTTTGATAGAACATCAGTTTCTAAAGGTAAATCTTTGGTCTGACTACATAATATAAACGGTTGCAGATATATAATGTATAATACTATAGTCCATTCGCGTTAAGAAAATAGTGACGCATCGGTGGTAACGTATTCAGGATGGAGTAAAAATTTAAATAATTGACATAATTTGTACCACAATTTATATTTTTATAGAACTTGTTTCTATAACAATATTCTGCTTACAAAGATTTTAGATTATCTATTTTGAAATTTAGTGTATGTTCGAAGAACGCAATCGTTTCGTGTGAAAGTCTGCAGTCAACTTTTCAATGTGAACTTGTCTTTATAATTTTTTAGCACCTGATTGATCGATTAATCACTTTTTTCTTAAATCGAATGTACTATAAAGATATGCTACGATTTTTTTTACCTTCAACTAGGTACTTGGGTTGGTGAGGTCCGTTGGAGTCCGAGGGATGAGTACACAGCGCTCTGCACTGCCAGTGAACACTAACACTTTCTGTTAGCACCGCTTCCACAGTGAACTGCAAAAGTTATCTCATTACATTGTTTATGATAATGTTTATAGATATAATTGTTCTGTGCGTGTGTATATGATAAGCTCCTCCTAAATGGCTGGACCGATTTTTATGAAATATTTTGTTAGTGTTCAAGTGGATTCGATTCCGAATTCGGTCGGAAGTGGATGGCTTAGATTCAGAATTCGGTCCACTACAAAAAGCTTTTTCTTAAGTTTGAAATCTTCGGATTATAGACGTGTGTACAGCGACAACGTCTGTCGGGTCCACTAGACCCGAGACGTAGTATTATTTATTTAATTTAAGAAAAAGTGAGCAAATAACCTGGAAGCTGTGAGTCAAAAATTAGTTTAAACAGTGGATGTGCATATATTGTTGTTGCGTGACTATTTCCGAATACCCCTCGTGATAAGAGGAGGCTTGTGCCTTTTGTCTTTCAAATTAATACTACAGAAAGGAGGTATAATTTGAATTTTGTTTCAGTTTATCTTCCTTGTATGACATTATCATTGAGCTTAGTATAATGCCTAGAATATCATAGGTTTACCAACCTTGTGGTCATGCATCTTATGTTTCCTAGCAGCTTTCATTTCCTTGGTAATTTGCAACCAGTTGGCGTTATCCAGAGACCCCAGGGGACCGTAAACGACTTGCCCGGGGTAAAATTCAGAGGAAGAATACGGAGTGGAACGTCGACGACGCATAGAGTAGTCTTCGAGGGGACAGGTGTCGAGGTCTGGGTATTCGAGACGTGATCCATCAGCAGATAGCAGACGAAGTTTGCTGTTCACAGCCTAAAAAAGGAACACACATTTTATTAATCTGAAAAACACAATATTTAAAGTAATGATCTCTAAAGATAATCACAAACAGAAATGCTCAAAACATTATTCTCTAAAATTAAAAAAGATTTGAAGTCTCATCAATATCAAGAACTTTTCTCGCTCTATCCTATTGTAGAAAAGGGAGGATTCTAGACACCAGTGCTGTAAGAGGAAACTTCAATTGAGGCAGTAATGGCTAAGGCATAGGAATTGTAATCCAGAGGTCGAAACTGTCAGAAACTTTAGATTTTTCGAGGTAACAATAGCGTTTTAAAATTATTTTCAAGAGAAAGAAAATATGTTATGACAGTTTTTATTGTTGAAATGATGTGAATATGTGTTCCATATCTATTTATGAATTAACCGTGTCACTATTATGTATTAACACCCGTTCCACAGGCTCTCTAGGTCACAGTCAACCTGTGACAACGGCCAACGCAACCTGCTCGAAACGTCAGGCAAATGGTGTGTAAGAACTATGATAATCCCGTGAATGTCCCGTGCGTAAACAAAATTATACTATAATTCGTCGCAAAGTTTAAACGTTAATATAACGCTAGATAGCTTCTTCAACCTAATGCTGTGTTACACACATAAAATATGTTTTGTTTTAAGGAAGGTATTTTTTTTAGTTTAGATACGCATACATTATCCTAAGTTAGTAATATAAATATGATAAAGCGTCCGGCATTACAGTGCACGAAAAAATACGGTTACGTAAACGCAAATTCGAGACAAGCATTATGTAGGAATAAGAAATCTTTAACATTATAATTCACTAACAGTGATTCATTCGAAAATATATTGAGATGAATAGAAAATTTAAAAAATGTAGTAAGTAATTAGTTGAATTTCTAGTTGTGTTTGTTTATTTTGGGTTTAATGTACAGTCACACATTATACCTTCACACTAGTCTTACTTTCAAAAATATAGTAAAAACATCCAATTCGCAGCGTGCATTAGCCACAATGTATTTAAGAAGAATGTTTTAGAACATCAAGTGAAAGTAGAAATTATTATAATAGGTATATTTTTTTGTATTAAAAGCAGGATATTTGGAATATTACAATAAGTTTTGCTAGTTATACTGGAGTTCTGAAGGATATGCAGTGTTGAAAAATACTTAGTTTCTACGAAAATAATTAGTTAATATGAATGATTATTTAACGTTCTAAAGAGTAGCTTCTTACACACATGGGTAAATACCTCACGCTTAAGTCCCAGAAGGGTAAGACAAAGGCATATTAGACGCCCTCATTTTGCTATTATTATACATATACCAGCTTTTGCCCGTAGCTTTCCCGGGTGTTTTTTTTTAAAATCGGTTTATTGGTTTAGGCGTGAAAACGTAACAAACAAACTTTCATATTTATAATATATAAGAATGGCTATCCATACCCCACTTACGTAATTTCCAAGCCAAGATAATGAAGCGTGTATTGACATTAATATAAAAAAGACAAGGCAGTGGCGGGAAGGTCTTTCGCTTATATGGATGAATTAGGGAATCTAAGCAATATTTCCAGCAGGTCAGGGAAGCATACCTGCAACTCACATTGGCTATTGCTGAAAGTCCATAATACGTACTCTAACCGATAGTTTATTACGTCGATAAATATAAAGAAAACTAATAACTCTCACTTACTACGGCAAATAAATTCATTGGCTACTTTAGTTTCAAACAAGGGAGCACTCAACCATATCAAAGCATCAATTAAATTAAACATTAAAGTAAAAATTATACCAAATTGTTAAAATATATGTACAGAATACTGTCATCATCACTTCTACCGCTCTAATAATTTTAGATCTCCCCCTTAATTTTATTTCCATATTAATTTAAAATTTAAAAATAATTTCAATTTCCATATTCGGTCTACTTTTGTGATGTAAAAAACTTCACTGACAATTTTTATAAATCTGGATGGAATTCTTCAGAACTGATGACTCCCATGGATACATACAACTCAAAAGACACAAGTGTTAGCCATCCCATGAGTGCCACCTCTCTAAGAACCACAGTCACTAGGTAAAAAGCATCATGACAAATGCTTAACACCCGTTTCCTATGAGGCTGTGGCCGTAAATGAGCGAACAGAGGGCCTAGTTTAAGTTTCAGTTAAGTCACAGGCCCTCAGGTTAGCCATCTTTAGACATGATGAGTTATAATCCAAATTTTGAAAAGACTTGAAATGTGGCATTGCACAATTCAGACAGGCAAAAGTGCAGTGAGTAATACCAAATCAGGCAGGTACAATTGTTGTTTATCATTTCCTTTCTTCTGCCATGCAGAAAGTCCAAATAAACATTGCACAGGAATAGTTGGGGCTGCAAGAAAGATCTTGTAATGTGAAAGAATGTCTCAACACAACACTACAAAAATAAAACAGGAGAATTTGTCAGTGCAACATTTTGTGTGGTAATTGTGAGGCTTTGTTATATTAATATAATCATTTTAGAATAAAGAAAGATCTCCAACTTTTAGGAATCATTAGCAATTGTTGATTAATGAAATTTTATTTAACACTACACTGACCTTAGAAGTTCCAACCCAGGAATCAAGGCAAACTGCTAAATCAGGAGTGAATTCTTCAAGTGGCTGCAGTCTCTCACTAGCGACACTTGGTATAACATGTTTAGTGCCAACTATTTGCAGTGCTGCAGTCATTATAATATCCCTGCAGTAGCCTCTTTGGGTATCTTTGCCAGCTATTAGACGACGAACAACATCTCCAGGCATCAATGAGCGGTCTGCTAATCCAACCTGTGAACCATCAAGTATTTCTTACTGGGTTGAAGATAATGATAAGTAACTTTTTATATAAAGACCCAGACTAAAGCGAGATGTTATAAAATGATGTTAAGATATATGGGTGATGCAATCAATAGCATGTTATCATAGCCTACACACTTTTGCATTCTCACAGACATCACCTCTTTGTTGCTTGATATTGTAAAAACCAAAAAAATAAATGGAAAAGTAGTAGGAGGAACTACCATTTCTTTTGTGAGTTGTAATACTTCCTTAAATGCCAAGAGTATTTGATCAGAAAAAACACCTAAAAAGAGAAAAGCTAAGATCTTATTAGATCTTATTATTATGCACTAGAGAGTGCAGCAGCAGACAAAAGCTGCAAACAAGGAGGCTTTTAAACAACTGTTTTTAATACAGTTTGAGTAAGCTCTTACATAACATAATATTAAGATCTGATAAGATCTTAGCTATTCTCTTTTTAGTGTTTTTCCAAAGAAAAAGGATTTTTTCATTTCATTTATTCTTTTTGTACACAAAATTACAATTACAACTTATACATGAGAAGAATGGTGTGTACAAAGACAAGCTTAGCCGACAGTTGAGTTTTCTTCCAGCTAATATAACTCAGCTTAGTTTCTATTTTTATAATTTTTTGTGCTTTTTGGAGGGAAACTATTCTATGTACTTATTCTATAGCCCTTGCAATGTGTTTATAAAATTTCATGCCACACTGTTAAGTGGCTATGGTGTAAATTATGAGAAACAAATTATTATTAGTCACATTTATAATATTAGTCAAGATATGTGTGACACAAAGCTGTTCTTGTAAGAGTTTAAATGTATTGGTCACCTAAACATATTCTTATAAGTGCATTGTTCTTTGTATACACAGTCAAGTTTATTTTAAAGATCCTAATAAATAACAGATTTTTCCATTTATTAATATAACAAATCTTGAACAGAAAGTTTTAATAAGCAGATCCATTGACAAGCTTTTTAATCTTTACTTATGATTGGTCATATAAACACTTATTATTTGGCAGTCTAATATGTGTTCCAAATGTATTAATTTGAGGGTAGTTATTTAAAAAGAATCTACACAGTTAGCCTCATGGGCAAATTCAAGGGCATATCATGTATTATTCAGGATAAGTAGCATTTGCTTCGGGGTTTGGGGTTGTTAGACTCGTAAGTAACGGTACGGACTATTTTTTGCTAACTATAATAGTCTACAAGTAGCGAATGCCTCTCTATATTTTTGTCTTATTCCTCGCTTACCGACTTCTCGGATATGACCCGCTCCGTGCCGGAAGGATGCCAGACAACACGAATTTCGCCTTTTTGTATAGGTGTTTCAATGTCGCTCTCTTGATCGCTGGAGTTGGCTTCATAATTCTCGAGTACCAGACCGAAGACTACTTGACCGCGATTGTTGATTTTATACACTTCATCCTCGTAAAAATATTGAAAGTCAGTCGGCGAACCTGGATTTTGCCCCGCCATATTGACGGGAATTATCTAAAGACACAAATAATTTTGTTTTTTACGTGATTATGTTCTTTCTGACAGCTGATTGCAATGTGTGGCGCATGCGTCAATTAATTATGCAATGGAAACTCCATCTTGCGGATTATTTAGAAAATAAAGTGCAATCCGTTACACGTTAGTAACACCTCGCCTTTGATTTCCCAGAAGTGTTAAATGTTTTGACTTAAATCATCTGATTTACAATATTACAATAATAATAAATATAATAAAGAAAAACAAATCCTCTTACATCTTGCAAATCGGTATTTAAATTTTAACGCGGTAAAGTATATTTAGTAGATTGAACGTAATTAAACCGCTATAAAAGAGACTTGAAGGATTTTAAATCTCGGTTGCAATATATCGAATCATAAAACAGAAATAAAATGAGGTTTTAATTTTGATTTATAAGATTCGCCCTAGCCTATTCGCCGATTTTACTAAAATATCAGTATGTCAGTTTAATTCAAAAATCATAGATTATACACTAGTCAAAAATTAATTAATATAATTACGGAAGAACTGTATTCATACAAATTTTACGTTTTTTGAATAATTATTACCATAAAACATGATTAGGTGCTCAATAAATTTTGCAAATGAACCAATTGTATATTCAGTTAAGTATATGAATTTAATGTATACTATCTAAATGTAAAAGTATGTCGACTTTGTAAACCTTTATTACAATTTAATATATTTAAATACATCTCCATTAGGCATCAAAGCCCGACACGTGTTATCCATTCGAGTTATAAAGTCTAGTCGCAAAGCTGTGACGTTAGCCCGAGAGCCGGTTCTATTCTCACTGTCCGATCAATACAATGTTATCAACGTAGCTGTGTAGGTGTTTACATGCGCGTAGTACACACACAGCTTCGCTTGAATGAGGTTGTCCCAAGTGATAACGCGGTACAAATAAAGCGCGATTTCTTAAAGGAAATGTGAACATAGCGAAATGCCGCTGCCAGAGCTTTTAAAACGTGCTTCTAGCTATTTCCTCGGTTTAGAGTTTGACGACAACGCGGAACCCCTCGATTACGTCGACAATGAAATATTGTTTTGCAAGAACAATGTGTGTGTGCATCCTCCAACTGTGGCTAGGCATGAATTAGATATTGTGCACCATCCAGGATACCTGACAGTCACTACCAAGGTGTTTACTGATCAGCATAATAATGCAAAACGACCTACCCTTTTCCTCAACTGGATCCCTAATTCAACACTCCGGAAATGTCCCTCAGCGGTAGAAACAAGTCCAAGCGAAGAACTAGTATGTACTGGAAAGGTCCAGATTCAAAAGGAAATTAAAAAATCACGCAGTAGTACTAACACTGGGCAAGTAGACGCTAATAACGAGCAAGCATTTTCCGATTCTTCGGAAACAACAAGCTTAAACTCTAACTCTGATAAACAAAGCATTAAATCGTCTGATACGAGATATACCCATAATGATACAACGCAAGAAGAATTATCCTCGAGTTCTAAGCCTACTGTGAAGTCTATAGACTCCGTTCAAGACAATGTTATGAGTAGCTTTGAGAAGGACGAGTGTAAAGACGAAGTATTTACTTATGAGAAACATGTACGCTCCCAATCTATGACTTCGGTCAACATCACAATCGCTAATCCAAATATAGAGAACGTTGACTTGACCCCTGATTCGATATCCGGAGACAGATTTATTAGGTCACTGTCAATGAGTTCATGTGACGAAGGCAACCCGAATTGGATGAGTACTCCTGAATTTTTAGCTCTAAAACACAATTTGGTTTTTCCGGATAGCGTTCAGAGTTCACCCGTGCCGCAAAGACGAACTACTATGAAATGTCGTAGGTAAGTGTATTTAATAATATTGCGTCGGACGGATGGATGAATGGATCATGGGGTCAACTTTTTTTAACATTGATGTAAACATGATTTTGTCATCTTTAGTGTAACCTACCTATCCTATCCTAACACAATTCAAGACAAAACTTTATTTCTGCTTTATTAAGTTTCCCATTTTGTTACGCAATATGCATGGTAGTTGCATGGTACGTGAAATATAAACATGATATTATTTATTCTATGTCGATGATTCTTCAAACATCTTCTCTTCTGTCACTAATAAGTATCTAGTATCATACAAGCAAATATTCTCCTATTGCTTATAGGCTTAGTGAAAACATATTTAATCTTCATTTTTAGTGGTAAATGGTAGAGTACAACCATTAATTATTAGATCTTAAATAGGAGGAGATACAGGCGTGATACAGTCTTTTTAGTTGAGGCTTATTCCTTCATTTATTACACTTGCAAAATAAAGTGCGTCCTAACGTAGGAAAGGCATGCTTCAGCACTTATAGTAGGGGAGCCCTAGAAGGGATTTCGGGATTTACTCGAGCGTGTCAGATTAAGATATGAGGAATACCTTACACCCAGTTGAGTACCTCCACCATAGATGAGACCTACACATGGGGGGGAGCGTCTAGGGCAGCCCATCAGATTAGTTAAAAGAAAATCGATGGCCAGAAATACTAGAGCGTATAAAATTAAGGTAAGTTGAGTCACAATACACATTAGTGAGTATTTAAAAAAAATCTGACGATGTGAGCGTGACATAAAGTAGTGGAAGGTCACAAAAAACCCATGACCTTGAGATTTTATTTTTGTTTTGAAGCAAATAATGTGAGATATCTTCTTTAAATGTCTACATAATTTTTCATGACTATTTGTCACATTCTATAAAAAACAAAAAGTGAACATATTTCTAACCGTCAGATTTAAAATACCTTGCAAAATTATCGTCAGATTTTTGGCTAGTATAAGAGGAACATCAAGCTGAACCGTCTGTATAAAATCTAACACGCTCGGTTATTTCGAAATGGCGATTTTTTGAATTTGCAGTTTGCATTTTCAATAATTCGCTACGAGCTTGTGTCACTTTAAAATCGGCAGACCTTTAATGGGAGCATTTTTGTCGTCCAAATAACATGTCCCCCAAAATATTTGATGCGCCTGAATATATTTTTTTCGATTCCCTCCCCTTACATTTTTGAAAACCTGTATAAGCTCAGCCCACCACTGAAAGTGGATACATAATATAACTTTTATTTATTCTATTACACAATCTTTCAAATGCAATAGGTCCCCATGACGCACCAGTAAATCCACATTTAGCATCATGGGCTCTCGTACTATTATGGGCTGGCTCCACCGGAGGCCAAAGAGGCCGTTTGCCTCCCTATACCATAAAAAAAATTCCAAGTGTTCTGGAAAGTAGGTCTAAATCTATTGTAGATTAGTTGATTTTGGATTGGTAAGCTAACTCGTATAAGGGTCGACGGTATAAGAAAACACGTACTTCCAAGAAACTTAAGACTACTCGGCCTTTGAACCAAACAAGGCGCATTACGGTTACTGTGTTTATGAAACGATATTTATTTAGTATGACCCCGCAGTAGGCAAGACCTATTAACCTGTTAAAATTATATGAAAGTAATGTTAAAGTAAGCTCTTACTATTTAAAACTGTAGATTCTAATTTTGTACTAAAACTTTGCTATTTCTTAGTAATTAATTTCACTTTCAAATTCACCAATTTTTGGATAAATTTGTTGCACATTCAAAGATAAACTTCATTGACTTCCTAACCAACCTTTAGATACTCACAGGATGTACCCATTAAGGATAGAGGCGTTCGGTTCTATCTATAAGGTTTACCGCGCATGTAGGCGTTAAATCGCATAGTCATTCATACTCCTATGCCAATATAATGTTCTATAAAAATCACTGCGGTCATGGTTTCGATTAGATAGCCCATGTAGGTAATTATCTGGTACCTATGCATGCTTGTGTTTCAAGTTATCATCATCATCAACAGCCTTTAATAGTCCACTGATTTACATAGGCCTCTCCTTAGAAAGGTTTTGGCCTTCTATACCACGCGAGCCAGACGAGTTAGTATAGGGTTTGTTTCAAGGCTTCCTTCTCTTTGCAGTGCTGTTGTCCTGCTCAGTTTGCTCCCTTAATCGGTTCTTACGACGCCCACAGGCTGAATAGGCGTGGTAACACTCCGTATTCTTAATCCGTCACACGCACAGGTGCGCAACAACCCTTAAAAAGTAGGGGTGTCCAAAATCATCAAAACACTTTATTGATTTATTTCAAAGTATTGTAAGGCTTACTAAATAATTTGGTATTACGATAAACATTCTTTTTATAGCAACAACATTTTAATTACAATTATTTTGATTCACATTTTTATTAAAAAAATTCAAACAGTCTATCTAAAATTGTTCACGTTTTATGAATATTTGAGCTGACTCTACAATATCTAATACATCCAAGTGCTTATGAACGTGGCATATTGCTAAATTGCTTAATCTGCTTTCATATATGGTAATTCGCAAATATGTTTTCAGTCGACGTAACGCACTAAAGCTGCATTCAGCTTCGCAAGATGAAGCAGGGCATGTCATTAAAAGTCTAATGAGACGTTTAACTTCTTTTAACATGTCTCTGACCTAAGAAATTGATTTAAAAAAGAAGCAAATAACATTATTCAAATACCCAGGAAAGATTTGTACGCCTTCAGGAAGAGCTGAGTGCACATCGGCTTTGTATACTGCCGGACAGCACGATTGCAGCTATGTATTGGTGGTTAAATGGCATTTAAATGGAATTTATTTATGGTTGAATGGCATTAAATGCATTTTACTTTTTAAAATGTCATAAATTTGTAGGATTATTTAAATTAAAAATCACATACATGTCAAAATAAATACAAAATACAATCAATTTTAATAAATGTCAAATGGATTAAATTAATGTAAATTCAAAATCATTAAGATAGGTGAGGTATTGTACAATTTTCTAATGCAGTAATTAGGAATTGTCGCCCAAATAGTCCTTAATTGAGTAATAGCATTTAATTGTCAAGATTTTTAATACTTCTTTTTTAAAATTGACCAGGCTTAGCGTTTTAATTTTTTCAGTTAGTTTGTTGAAGATTTTGGTGGCCATACAGAAGGTACTTTTATTCATTAGTGCAGTTTTGCCATATGTCACTTGGAGTTCCCGACTTATTTTTATCGTAGTTAGTTTTAGTTGCTATTTTTGTATGGTGAGATGTTAGATTTGACGAACACATTTGTTTCGTATATGTACAAAGATGGCAAGGTAAGAATTTTTAGGCGTATAAAATACGTTTGACAAGTTACTGTCGGTGCTTTTAAGACCACACATAGCTCTGACACATTTTTATGAACTCTAAATACGAGTTCTCAATCTACTGAATTGCTCCAATATATTACGCCATATCTGAGTGTTGATGCAAGGTAACCGTGATGGGGTGTTAGTACGGATTCTAGGCTCACTATTTTTGATAGTTAATAGAGAACATAGGCAAATGTTGTTGCGCCCCCGCATGCATATACCACGTCTGTGTATAGCTGCAACAAACAAGTTATAAGTATACACATATAACATACATGAATATTTAAAGAACTTGCGTTTTCATCCATACTTATTATTCAATACAACATCTAACGTAAATATTTAAAATTCGTTATTTAAAAGTCAATTTTCACGTAGGGGAATTAATTTAGTCACGTTAAGTTCCCCTTACAGACTTAACTAGCGGACACGTATACTACTATGAATTTTCAAATAAATTAGGTACGCGGCTGAATATTAATCGTTGTACATTTTGTGTCCATTCTAAAAAAAATGGCTCTAAACCTCTAATTGATGTATTCCAAAAATATGAGTATTCCCATTCTTTTTTATAATGTTTCTAGATCAAACTCTTTAACCGAACTTAATTTTTATTACATTCGAATGTTTAGAAAATAAAAACACCTCAGTATAATCAATATAGAAGTACACAAAAAAACTATACATATTATTGTCAAGGCGAGAAAGATGTCATTGAAAAGATGTCTTGTTTCTCAGAAATTTCACGCTTGTCTGCTCTGTCCTTGTCACTATCCATAATTACATTCCTCTATCCCACGCCAAGAATGTCATTATTACTCTCCAGTTATATAGAGCGTTTAGTAGATACCCTCTTGAATTTTAACTCTCGAAGAAATTGTATGAAATCCATAAAATATTACCAATATCAGACATGACGCTCTGACCTATTAAACTAAATGTCAAAGGTTAGAGAGACAAGGTTAATATAAAGTTTTGAGTTGTATATTGGTAAAGCTTGTAGTTAATTTGATAGGGACAATAAGGAGATAATTGTTTATTCCGTTCTGTATGCTGGTACCTAGATTCGAATGATGTGGTGTTTTATCATTGCATCGCGTAACACCGACTGACATCCTTGTGATAAGGACATCAAAGAACGGTTTTTCATTTAAAAAAGACAACTCCCGCATAATAATATGTCACGGGGGACTTTACAAACATACATGAAACGGACACAAAGAACACCCAGACTCAGAACAACAATTTGTGGATCACACAAAGTGTCGTCCCATGTGGGGATCGGACCCACAACACTCAGCGCAGCAGTGAGCGGCGTGGCGACCGCCCAAACCACTACGCCATCCGTGCCACAATGATTTGAAAAAAGTTAGTTAGTTAGCAAGTTTGTAACAGAACTCTAGTTTGTTAAAACAAAAATGTGTTTAACCTATTCATCACTAATAGGCGTAGTATACTTGTCCTTAAATGCATCAACTAAATGATCGTAAAAGGTCATCAACCATCTAAATATTCCGGATTACCCATGCCAATGCAGACAAATGGTTAATTTTTAGAACTTAGTAAGTAAGGTGCGTCACCTTGTTTACTCGCTAATGACGCTTTCTAATTTAATATGCATAGTAATAGTAAGTTACT